ACTTTTTTACTGATTGGCCGTGTCGGGTGGCGGAGGGTTACGACACATCTATAAATAACGCGATCTAAACCCAAAAACGTTGATTATGAATAATATTGGTCGCGAAAGCCTCCGTGTTGAACTCAGGTGAGGTAGTTAGGTAGTTAACATCTCCTAGCCACCGTGATAATGAGAGAGAGACACACACACAAACTCCAAATATACAGCAGGCGTCAGGGTCGTGATCGGACCCACGACCACCTGCATACCAGGCGAAGGTAGTTAACTATCTCCTAGCCACCGTGGCACCCAATTCGCTGCCCTTCCTCCGCACCTCCGATTTGCACGGGTTGGCTACGTAGGGAGCGAAAGAAGTCCAACATACAGTACATGCATACGGTACCACCGGCAAGCTGTGCTGGAAACTCGAAATCCCCTTTCTTCGGCGCTGTCAGCTGCCTCCATCCCCAGGACGACGGGGCCGCGGATCCCTTCAACCAACCCCTGTCGGTCGTAAAGCGTGCACAGCTCACGGTCCTATTTATTATCTATTCATGAAAAGGTCAAGAAAATCAGGAATGGCATTCTGCTGCGTCCGTGTCTGCCTCGCCACCAACACTTGACATTCCTCAGCCTGTCACCATACACATCACCACCACTGCCATCATCATCATCATCACCTCCCACCGAACAAAAACAAGTCTTGTTTCATCCCAGATTCACCGCCCCATCACCTGCTCACCCGCTTACCCACCGTGGCCCCCCTACAGAAATTACCCAGTTTCATCAACGTCGCCAGTAACATTTCGTTTTGATGTATGTACGGTATGTTGAGACTTCTTCCGCAACCATACCTATCCAACCGTGCTAATCGAAGGTGCGGGGGACATCAACAAACTAAACACAACAAGGAGCAGTCCTAAATAAGTGAGTTTGAAATCGAGAATACTGCAGGCCATTCCGTCTTGCTGGAGCGTCTCCGTCACGAGGTAGGCATCACCTCCCTCTCGGTCTGTCATCCTCCCAGGAAAGCCCCGTGCTGGTCCACCCCTGGCCCTCACTGCCGCTTCTCAAAACATCTCTCCTGTCAAAGGTATCTCCGGATTTACATATCGACCCCTTTTCCCAGGCTCTTTATTAAATCCTTTATATTAAGTTCACTTGCGTGCTTGCTTGCGCGCTTACGACCGTGCAAATCTTTCGGTCGTTTTTTAACCCACTTCCCGTGATCCAATCGAGCTGACATTTTGCACACAAACTCGTTGTGCGTGACAATTTATTTTCGTGAAATTTTTTTCCCAAAATTTTACACTTTTTAGGAATTTTTTTAAATATTTAATTACCAATTGCTTAATGGTGGCACGCAATCATCTGACCCAAAGGTGGCAGCCATCTCAAGCCAGAGGACGAGAGGACTTTAGTCGCCACGCATATAAAGGATTTATAGTGAAAAACTTTGTTGCCGTTGACTCCTATGCACACAAGCTCTCACCGTCTCCTCTCACATCCTGCCTTCAATCCAACTAGGCGGATTCTCATCTTGGATGGGTTCCAGTTAAACGTTTCCACAATCTCCTCGCCACGCATCTCCACCCTCCACCGCTCCCTCGCCACGCAACCCACGCACTGGAGATTGTTTTAGAATTAAGATGTGTGCACGTGTCATTTCACCTGTTTGCCAGTCGACATCACGGACATCCTGGAAAACGAGACGTTTTCATCTCGAGGGATGTTCCAGGTAATATTGTAAACAATACAATAGCAACAACAAGAAACACCATACCCCGCATCACCACACACAAAGGCTTGATATCCCCCGTATAGCCTCAACAGACTTTTGGGGCAAGTCCTGTTAGCGAGCACCTATGAAGGCCGTTACGGCACACGAGGGGGTGGGTGACCAGCACCACGCCCGTCCGCCTTTGTCTCCCCAGTGGTTACACACCACAACATAAGAGGCTAAGTCAACATAGGGGAGGCCCAGGACTGGTTCAGATAATCGTCACTCGTGTTGGCCGAAAGCGGGAATGGAACTCGGGTCTATGGGTTTGTAACGCAGCACGTGAACCACTACACTACCGCTCCCCACACAGCCACCGCACGACGCACCACGCCACACTCCTTAACTACCCCACTAAACACACACACACACACCGCACACACACACACCGTGATATTACCCATTGACAAGCACACTCCACATTTCACATCACCACCACCCTACACACATCGCTCACGACACAACCACCAATCCACTCACCACACAGCCTCCCACACCCCACTTAGCAACTACTACACTCCACGTTCCATCCCACTCACGAGACAACCACCTTACCCACTCACCAGACCACAGACCCTCCCTCACCACTTAACTACACTCCTCAATTCTAGATTTTAAGTTTTCGTGACTGCAAGGATTCATTTTTTTTTTTCGGTAAAGTCACGTAGGTAAAATTTTAAATAAATTAAAAGAAATTAAATTACACTCCACATCCCACACACAAGACAACCACCTTACCCACCCAACTCACCACACCACACACCCCTCAACAACCACGCTCCACATCCCACTCACCAGACAACCAACTTACCAAACTCACCACACCACAAACCCTCCCACACCACTTAACTACACTCCACATCCCACTCACGAGACAACCACCTTACCAACTCATCACACACCATCCCACCAAACCACTGAACAACCACATCCACATCCCACTCACGAGAAAATCACCGTACCCAACTCACCACACACCACCGAACACCACTGAACAACCACGCACCATTTTTCGATTTAAAGCTTTCCTGACTGCAGGGATTCATCTTCTTGGTTCTTTCGGTGAAGTCGCGTAGAAGGGAAGTAATAAAATAATAAAAATAATAAAAATAAAACATAATAAGATAATACATAAACATAATAAAATTGTATTATGTTTTATTTTAATTATTTTATTACTTCCCTTCTACGTGACTTTACCGAAAGAACCAAGAAGATGAACCACCGCTCCACACCACGCAGATCCATCTCCCGTCGCCACCACCGGCGCTCCTCAAACGGCTTCGGGCGTGTCGCCATCGCCCCCTGGCGACACGGAGTTGCCTCTGCGGGAGCTCACGGGACACGAAGCGGGGGCAGAAATTAGGAACTAGATAAGCAGTTTATCACTGCGCAAATATTATCAAGTCTCTGCGCAAGCTCTTCTCTAGTAGCTACTTGGTGTTCTAACGAGTCAAGAATCGATAATTTTTTCAAGAATCGATAATTTTTTCAAGAATCGATCATTTTTTCTTCTTCTAATTCATTGAGTTGCGGTGTTAACGATTTAACAATTCATCGATTAATATAAATTACCAAGCGCAAGAAAAATGCATGGAACAGCGCGGGCAATACCCAAAGTTCGCGATTCGTATATAGAGTAAATGAATAGATCGCGACGTTTCGATCGCAACACAAGCAACCGTCATCAGGCGCGAGCGTCGATGGACCGTGACGTTTCGTCTCTTCGCGTCTCCACGCTGCCATCTTCGTCCTCGTCGAAACCGACTCGGGCTCATGAAATTAACTTCCAAGTTTTGAACGCGCCGATGTAATTCAACGACATTAAACGGCTCTCAATCGGGGCAAGATGTTGTGGCGAGATGTTAACTCCCTCACCTGGTGTGCAAGGAGGTCGTCGTGGGTTCGATCTCGAGCCCTGAAGCCTGCTGCTGTACATTTAGAGTTTGCGTGTCTCTCTCTCTCTCTCCTCGTGGTCGCGTGGATCTTTCTCCGGGCCCTCAGGATTTTCCTTCCCACGTTTAGAATGTTGTTTATGCCATTTATTGTGAAAATTCCGTCACAGTTCCTATGATCACTGTTTCATTGCTTTCATGGCTTTATTTTGGTGATTTCGAAACGTATATTGGTTTAGCCATGTTTGTTGTAGTACAGAGTTAGACTGATGGCCTTAATCTAAGTTGTCTTGTGGTTGTTGTTGGTTGTTTGACTTGTATCCCACTGGGATTTTTGCACACAGCGTTGGTGTACGGTGATTTTTTTCTGCAATGTTTTGCTGTCTTTTCTTGGATTTCTGTTTGCACTTAGTCACATATTCACTTTAAGATGTTTTCTTGTTCATGTTTTTGTTTGTTGCGGTTGCACCCGATTCAAAAGCCGAATGGCTCACAGGGCTATATACCTAATACATGAACTTGAACTAGAATCAACATCCACGCGGAGGGTGGTGGGGGGTGCGTGACGTCAGTAGGCACACTTTGTGACGTCAGCAGGCACACTGCGTGACGCTGCCGCATGCGGGTGACATCACAGATGTGACGTCACCGCTCACTTGCCGTGCAAAATATATCCATTATTGCACCCCCCCCCCCCCCCCCCCAAAATACAAAAGTCTATTTTTATACAGTTTACATTGTGTACAGTCTGGAAGCTACCCACATGCCAAATTTCAAGTTTGTTGCATGTTGGGAAGTATGCTAAACATTTAGAACAGACACACATTCACAAATTTCCCTTTTATATATATGTAGATTTGGCTACTATGGATTTACACTACACGATCAGCCACTTCGTTGAGCTGTCATGTGGCCAGGTCGCTTCTTAAGAACCGCAATATAGCTTAGTGGGCCTTACCAATTTAAAAAAATAGTGGAGTTTATAGTTTAACTAAAACCCTACAACCGCCTATAACTACCTGTTATTATTTTAATTTTACCAGGTGAGGCCCAGGGAGCCACAAATGATAGCTCAACAAAGTGGCTTGCCATCATGTGGAAATTTATAGTAGCCAAATACTCTCAATGCACGTTGAATTAAGTGTGTATTTTTAAAAAATCTGTAATTGTGGAATGCTTTGACGTTGTTTGCCGGCCGAGTCGCCCTTGCGAGAGAGCTTCTTCGCCGATCGATGGGAAATAAACTTCTGATTCTGATGGCATCTCACCCGCACACAGCTACACAATCGCGGCGAACTTGACAATAAAAGGATCGGTGCAAACACAGTTGAAGCCGCGTCAAAATGTTACTTTTCTGTTGTTCTTTTTATTATTATTATTATATATAATGAAACCATTTCGCAAAAACGCTCACACGAATCGGTCATGGGATTTTTTTGTTTGTTTGTTAAGTTTTTCTCGGCCCTGTGTGTGTTTTTAGTCGAGGCCGGTGGCGTAACACGTCAGTTGTATATTTATATATACTTACATATAATATCATACAGACAATAACATACAGCATTATTACTATGATAAAGGTGCAGTACATGGCGGGGTGAGAATATGAATGCGGGAAATAAAACAAACAACCTTAATTTTATCAAAGTTAAACGCAAAAGCAATCCCACATAAAAAAAAAAGTTTGAACAAAATTAAAATGTTTGCGACGCTGTTGCTGCTGCTGCTGCTAACAACAAAACACAACGCATTCGTCAATAACGCTGGCCTGTCACGTAAACCCAGGTGAACTTCCGAGTGATGTTGCCCGTCTTGGTTGCATGCAACCGAGTCACTTGTGGCCTCTGCAATGGGTTGTGCAACTGGTCGCTTGCAGGGAAAAAAGGCGACTTTCAAGCAACGATCTGCTCAGAGATTTGTCCACATTTGAGCAATCAGTTGCGCAAACTTGGTTGCATGCAACCGAATCACCTGTGGTCTCTGCAACCAGTTGCAAGCGGATGCGCAACTGGTTGCTTGCAGGATATGACAGGCTACTTTCCGGCAGCGATCTGCTCGGTGATGTCTCAGTTACGCATTTCACCGCGTGCACATTTGCCAACTTTGATCGGTTGATCCTGACTAAAGCAACTACCCGTTCACATGTGGACAATGCAGCAGCTGGCGATGATTAAGTTGCACGGCTTCTACAGGGATGTAATTGCCTCAACTGATCGCGGAGGTTCTGATCAAGCTTTACACTAAAGCAGAGATCAACCTCTTATCTTTGCCAACTGACGAAAGGGCCATTGGCCGAAACATCGTAAAATATTTCGATTTAAAGCTTTCGTGACTGCAGGGATTCATCTTCTTGGTTCTTTCGGTAAAGTCACGTAGAAGGGAAATAATAAAGGAATAAAAATAAAACATAATTAAATAATATAATAAAAATATTATATTATGTTTATTTTTATTATTTCCCTTCTACGTGACTTTACCGAAAGAACCAAGAAAATCGTAAAATATATTTTATCTAAAGGGTTGAGTTATTGACGAATATATTGAATTGTTTTTGCTGCGTCGAAATTGTAAAATGGGTCACGTGGCAGCACTGCTCCATCGTGACATCGTTGGGGTCATTACGTCACCTGCGACGGGTGGTTGGCGTCACAATCAACGGCGGCAATGACGTCATCACTTTAGAAACAATCTCTTCGCGGCGTCACCGTTTTCGGTTCTTTAGCGTTAAGGCTCGCAACGTCACCATGGTTACAACTGTTAACCTCAATGATAATGTGCGCAACTGTTTATAATAATAACACTGGTCAACAATAAAAAAAAATTCTGGCCTGGACTTTTGCAGCTGTTTTAGACTAATTTCAGGGTGCCGATTCCAAATCTGATCTCAGATTTGCTCTATCACATCTCATTTTTATGCTATCGGCATACCCCATTTTCATTGATTTTACCCGAAATAAACTCTGTCACTTATGATTGCAAGTTGTTGCGAGTCAGTGACTGCTTTAGTGTTAAAATATGGTGCTGTATTTTAGGATAGTGTGTTTATAATATAATTTTAGGTAGATATCCACATTTATTTAATATTTTTCTTCTGCAGTTTTTATTGAAAATGCAATATTTGATATCTCCAAAACCTGATGCCAGATTTGGAATCAGCACCCCAAAATTACCTTAAAACAGTTGGAATACCTTATGCCAGAAAAAGTGTGTTGACCAGTGTAATCCATTTACACGCAACATGATTCGATGCACGCTCGGCGAGCGGTGAGAATCGATTTTAATGTTTGAATCGATGAACTGCAACAATTACCGGGAGCGTAATTCAAGACTTAGTGACGTCATGGACGAGAAACCCCACCGGGCACACGTTGGTCGATGACGTCATAATGGCGCCATTATGCAACCGCCCAACGACGTCGTTGAACAATGCCACGTGTTTCTTTTGACACAGGCGACCGAAATGGGAGCGTAGATCTGCGAACACTAAAAAATATAAATGTAAAAGGTTTGCGCTTCGGTGCATTCAATGAGCCAGAGCGGCCTGCCGTGGCGATACGAGATTGAATTTAGTTCTTATCGAACGGTCTGCCTTAGGATGCCTCAGCATATTGCGTCGAACAACATACGGTGTGCCTCCGATTGGCCGGATCTTGACACGTTGACGAGGCAGCTCCTCTCAAAGCAGCTCCTGTCAGTGACAATGAGCTCGGGGCGAACAAGTCGTGGAATAGAAATGCGCTCTGGAGCGCTCTGCTCATTGAATGCGCCCCCCTAGTGAAACATTATTGTAGGTGGGGCTCGGGGCAGCAAAAAGCCGAGTACTATTACATCATTTGCGAGTCGGTCAGCGCTAGAATTTGATTGGCTAGTTCGGAGTTAGATTCTATGGGAGAGCTAGTACCAATACTAGTCATGGTTAGCTCGTTAGGGTGTGTGTGGCTAGTTGGTTCGCTGTCATGAAAGAGCTAGTACTTGTGGATGATCGGCTAGTTGATTAGGTTCATAATAGGGATATCATCTGATTGGCTAGTTGTTTATGAAGTGTTTGATTGGCTACTGGGCATCTGGCTCGGCGGTCAAGTGAACTGCTCGCAATCAGAAAGTTGAGAGTTCAAACCCTGGTTGCGGGTTGGTCGACTCAGCCCATCATCCCTCCTGGGATCCGTAACTTTTCCACAATAGAGGTTTCTTGGGTTAGATCACGTAAATATGTGTCGTTAAACCCGCCACCACCCGACAAAGCCAATTTGTAAGGTTTGACACGTAAGCATAATATGCCAATTTGTTACGAGTACAGCTCCCTATAACTTTTGATTCGCTAGTTAGTTCGGGCTAAGGGCAGGGTGTTGGCGTTAAGTTGGCTACCCACATTAAACATTCAACGTTGGGTCGACAGTGCTATGTGGTTGGAACCATTGGCCCAAACGTTCCATGTTTACCGGGTAGTTTGATAGTTTTCTCTGCCCCAAAACTGCTCGCTTCTTCCCATCGCAAGCCATCACACCCTCCTTTTAGCGCTCGTCCGCTTTTCGTCGTGGGAGTTGTACAGCGCTGCCATCGACTCGGCGCCTCTGAACACCGGGGCTGCATTTGTGTGCGGAAGCGCGTTTCCCCCTTACGCTGCTCTAAGGCTTCTTGCTTCTCTCCATAGAAAGTTGCACTCCTCTGCTGCAGGCACAGGCGGCAGCATCTCCCTGCCGCACCCCCTGCAGCTTCCCCATCTGTGTTGCCCTTGCAGTGCATAGCAGAGACATTGGCAGCGCGCTGCAAATGCAGCCCAATGTTCAGAGTTTAAAAGAAGACAAACCAAGTGTGGCTCTTCTCTAGCAGATACTTGGTGTCCTAACGAGTCATGATTCGGGGGGTTGAGATTTGATTCAAGAATCGATCATTTTTTCTTCTTCTAATTCATTGAGTTGCGGTGTTAACGATTTAACAATTCATCGATCCATATAAATTACTAAGCGCAAGATACATGCATTGAACAGCGCGGGCAATAACCAAAGTTCGCGATTCGTATATGGAGTAAATAGATCGCGACGTTTCGATCGCAACACAAGCAACCGTCATCAGGCGAAACAAACACAGCAGGATCACTGCTGATGTCAGCAGTTCGAAACGTCGTGATCCATTTCATTTTCTACCCACGTGACTTTACCGAAAGAACCAAAAAGTATGGATTCCCTGCAGTCAAAAAAGCTTCAAATCAAGATCGTATATGTGGTAGTTATGGGTTTGCATGACCCCTGGGTTCACGACACCACACACACTCGCGAAACCACGGGCAAACGGAACTCACTACGGTAAACCAACCACGGCGAACCACGGTAAACTGAACCGGCCATGGTAAACCGCAGTAAATGCATCTTAATTTTACCGTATCGGTGCACAAAGTGGCTTAGTTTAACTGCGTGGATGTTAAGTTTAATTCAGTTTAATTGGGTAGTTGAAATCCGTAGCTAAGAGGCTAAAACACGGGCCTGGTAGCGACACAGCTTTGCCGATGGAGGTGACGCAGGGAAGATTCTTTGGGAAAATAGACCAAGAGGAAGCAAGAGAACGTCGATGTGAGAACATATTCAACAGGGACGTACGGACAAATGAAGAGAGCAACGCAAGATCGAGCAACGTGGTGGAGAGAACTGTGTCTCTCGACCTGCCGACAGACAGACTGCTCAATGGAATTACTTGCTACCCACTCGAGGCTGCGTGCCCTGGGCTGTCCAACGCACCGAGTTTGCGAAGGAAGCTCGGCTAACGACCAATCAGACTCTAGGTTTACCATGGAGCGCGTCAACGTCAACATCGGTGCCGGTGCTGTCATTGCCACATGGACCGCGTCAGACAAGCCCAGGTCACTACCCAGGGCGGGACGCTGTCAATTATATTCATCCTGGTCTCATGAGTTTGAAACATGGCTAAACAAATAAACTTCATCTACAAGATGACAATCGGTTCCGTTGCTTGGGACGTCATCCTCCCAACGATGTAAGAGATACCATTCCTTGGCAGACAAACATTAGCGCATCACACTCCTTAGCAAGCGACACTCGAGGTGCCCGCGCTCTGACCACGATGAGCAGTAGGCAACGATGAGGGGACAACAAACATTCCCTGTCGTGATGCTCTCTTGACCAAACAACACTCAGACAACACTCTGTAACAGGCAACACCCAATAAGTTCCTAACACTGACAAATTAATACTCGCCGCCTACAGCACTTGCCGACAATGCTCCTCACCCAACGGACAGCACTTCAAACGGCAACGCTCATTACGGACCACGCTCGGAAAACAAATCCCCATGATCGCACGACGCTCATCGACGTACAAACCTCCCCCGCCAGACACGGCTCCTGACCGTCCTGACGCTTGTCAAGCGACAACACTCCTCTCTCGCCAGACGACGCTCGCTCGCACTCCTCGACTGCACTGCACGAGGTGGCGACTGCTGGGCGGGTGCCTTTGTGTTGTCCGACAGCGTCTCGGTGGTGGCGTGGACTCGCGATGGAGGAGGTGAGGAGAGAGGTGATGGAGGAGGTGAGGAGGGAGGTGATGGAGGGAAAACGACCAATTCGGCTGCTTCAGGGGTCGGCGACAGTGTGGCTCCAGAGCGGTATGCGGTTCTTCGACAGGCCACTTCGTGACGTTATTTATTAAGGAGCGCCATCTCGAACTTACTCGCATGGCTCATTCTTATTCTTGGTTCTTTCGGTAAAGTCACGTCGAATGGAAATTGTATTATATCCCTTCTACGCGGACTTTACCGAAAGAACCAAGAATATGAATCCCTGTAGTCAAGAAAGCTTTAAATCGAAATTCATGGCTATTCTTGTTATTTTGGTTACCAACTCCTGGCCTGGTTAAGATAATCCTGACCCTGACCTTGATCCGATCTGACCCGACTTGTGAATACCGTAACTGATCTGGCCACAGCTGGTCCCTGTTGGACTTCTCCCAATCTGATTTGACCTCATGCAACTTCACCTGACCTGACCTGACCCCAAGCTCTCAATCGAAATTCATGGCTATTCGTGTTATTTTTGTTGCCAACTCCTGGCCTGGTTAAGATAATCCTGACCTGACCCCGACTTGTGGATACCGTAACTGACCTGGCCACAGCCGGTCCCTTTTGGACTTCTCCCAATCTGATTTGACCTCGTGCAACTTCACCTGACCTCACCTGACCCCATCTGACCTGGTCCCACTCACGCTCCCACATCTCACCTCCCCCCGCCCACTCCCCTGACCTCCTCCTCTGTTCCCCTCTGCTCCCCATTCCACTCCTCCGCTAGCAGCACCTGCGTGTCGGGGGCTCGGGCGCGGGGGGCTCCGAGGGGAGGGCAAGGACCCCTGTCATGAGGTCGCGAGACAGCGGCTCCATAGGCATCTGTGGGGCAACACACGCCCCCCCACGCGGGTTAACACGCCGCCAGCATTGCTAACAAGGTCACCACGGTAATGCCACGACACACTTTATATACAGGTAGGAACAACAGGTTCCACACTGCCCACCAGGGATTATTTGTCTGTCGTGCATATTGGGAGGGGAAGGTGGGGGGTGGGTGGAGAGGGGAGGGTGGGGAAGGGGCTGGGCGGTGAGGGAGGGGCTGGGTGGGGAGGGGAGGGTGGGGAGGAGCTGGGTGGGGGGTGGGAGGGGTGGGGCTCGGTGGGGAGGGGCTGGTCACCCCGTGGTGCCCTGATAAAACTCAACGTTTAACCTACTCACTACACGAGACACTACACTTATACAGGTAGGAACAACAGGTTCCACACTGCCCACCAGGGATTATTTGTCTGTCTGTCGTGCACGAATGCGCTGTCCAACCAAGTTCCTACCTGCCCACTCCGAAGGAACGTGTTTAAGTGATCACTGCTACCACACTAAGGCCATGAACATGACGGTACCATGCCGCCTCCGTTAAACACAGTTACCACTGCTGCCGTGGTAGTAAGTGTCCCGTCCTGCCGTGTTAACACTGCCAGTGTAAACACAGTTGTGTTTCTAAGTCACCGTGCCACTCGGTGTGGCGCCTGACGCTGCTGACACAGTCGCCGCGTGTGTCGCTGTGCCTCACCCTGCGCACGATGTCCTCCACCAGACGCAGGAAGATGTCCTCCACGTTCCGGTTTTCGCGCGCGCTCGCCTCGCAGAACCGCATGCCGCTAAACCGCTGTGCAAACTGAGCGCAGCGTGGGAAACGATACGCACCGACCAGGGTAAACGATACACACCAACCACGGTAAACCAGGGTAAACGATACACACCAACCACGGTAAACCAGAGTAAACGATACACACCAACCATGGTAAACCAGGGTAAACGATACACACCAACCACGGTAAACCAGAGTAAACGATACACACCAACCACGGTAAACCAGAGTAAACGATACACACCAACCACGGTAAACCAGGGTAAACGATACACACCAACCAGGGTAAACCAGGGTAAACGATACACACCGACCACGGTAAACCAGGGTAAACGATACACACCGACCACGGTAAACCAGGGTAAACGATACACACCAACCACGGTAAACCAGGGTAAACGATACACACCAACCAGGGTAAACCAGGGTAAACGATACACACCGACCACGGTAAACCAGGGTAAACGATACACACCGACCACGGTAAACCAGGGTAAACGATACACACCGACCATGGTAAACCAGAGTAAACGATACACACCGACCAGGGTAAACCACGGTAAACGATACACACCGACCACGGTAAACCAGAGTAAACGATACACACCGACCACGGTAAACCAGAGTAAACGATACACACCAACCACGGTAAACCAGGGTAAACGATACAAACCAAGCATGGTAAACCAGAGTAAACGATACACACCAACCACGGTAAACCAGGGTAAACGATACACACCAACCACGGTAAACGATACACACCAACCACGGTAAACGATACACACCAACCACGGTAAACGATACACACCAACCACGGTAAACCAGGGTAAACGATACACACCAACCACGGTAAACGATACACACCAACCACGGTAAACCAGAGTAAACGATACACACCAACCACGGTAAACCAGGGTAAACAATACACACCAACCACGGTAAACCAGGGTAAACGATACACACCAACCACAGTAAACCAGAGTAAACGATACACACCAACCACGGTAAACCAGGGTAAATGATACACAACCACAGTAAACCACAATTGCAACATGACACACATGATCACGGTGATATACGGTGGTGGTGGTGTTGGTGGTGTAGGGTGGTGGTGCACGGATTGGCGTTGACAGCGTGGAAGGCAGCAGAGGGCAGTGCTGTACTTCTGTGCTTCCACGTCCATAGCACGTGACGATGCCTGACGGGACACGATGATGATGTGTTTATGGTGGTACGTGATGATGATGTATGGTGGTCCATGGTGGTACGTGATGACGTTTGATGGTATGTGGTGATGATGATGTATGGTGGTACATGATGATGTTTGATGGTATGTGGTGATGATGATGTATGGTGGTACATGGTGATACATGATGATGTTTGATGGTATGTGGTGGTGATGATGATGTATGGTGGTCCATGGTGGTACATGATGATGTTTGATGGTATGTGGTGATGATGATGTATGGTGGTACATGGTGATACATGATGATGTTTGATGGTATGTGGTGGTGATGATGATGTATGGTGGTCCATGGTGGTACATGATGATGTTTGATGGTATGTGGTGATGATGATGTATGGTGGTACATGGTGATACATGATGATGTTTGATGGTATGTGGTGGTGATGATGATGTATGGTGGTCCATGGTGGTACATGATGATGTTTGATGGTATGTGGTGATGATGATGTATGGTGGTCCATGGTGGTACATGATGATGTATGATGGTATGTGGTGATGATGATGTATGGTGGTCCATGGTGATACATGATGATGTTTGATGGTATGTGGTGGTGATGATGATGTATGGTGGTCCATGGTGGTACATGATGATGTTTGATGGTATGTGGTGATGATGATGTATGGGAGTATGCGATGATGAGGTACGTGATGATGTATAATGGCACGTCATGTCGTACGGTGATACATAATGACGATACTGTTTCGTGGTACGTGATGTATGGTGGTACGTGATGTAAGCTGGTACATGATAATGTATGACGGCACGTGATGGTGTACGGGGATGCGTGATGATGAAGTATGTGATGACGTATGGCGGGGTATGTGATGTCATATAGGAATATGTGGTGAAGTATGGTGCTTGGTATGCGGCCTGGGCCGTGTGACTTCACCTTAAGCCCCTCCTCCCGCGTGACCTCCCTCTCCGCTTCCCGGTCGAGTTTGTTCCCAACCAGCAGCAAATCCACGTCCTCGGAGGCGTACTGAGCACACGGCACACACGCCGCACTCACCACCGCACTCACTCATACCATATACACACCGTACACCGCACCACACCACTCAAACCACTCATACCATATACAGCGCACACACATCACACTCGTACCACACCGTACTCACTACACTCATACCCTATACACACCGTACACTGCACCACACCACTCAAACCACTCATACCATATACAGCGCACACACATCACACTCGTACCACACCGTACTCACTACACTCATACCCTATACACACCGTACACCGCACCACACCACTCAAACCACTCATCCCATATACAGCGCACACACATTACACTCGTACCACATCGTACTCATGACACTCATACCCTATACACACCGTACACTGCACCACACCACTCAAACCACACATACCATATACAGCGCACACACATCACACTCGTACCACACCGTACTCACGACACTCATACCATATACACACCGTACACTGCACCACACCACTCAAACCACTCATACCATATACAGCGCACACACATCACACTCATACCACACCGTACTCACTACACTCATACCCTATACACACCGTACACTGCACCACACCACTCAAACCACTCATACCATATACAGCGCACACACATCACACTCGTACCACATCGTACTCACGACACTCATACCCTATACACACCGTACACCGCACCACACCACTCAAACCACACATACCATATACAGCGCACACACATCACACTCGTACCACACCGTACTCACGACACTCATACCCTATACACACCGTACACCGCACCACACCACTCAAACCACTCATACCATATACAGCGCACACACACATCACACTCGTACCACACCTACCAAGCACCCCACACATAAACTATGCAGACATACATATACCATACACACACCCACACAGATATAACACATATACTATGCAGACATCCATATACCACACACACACACAGATATAACACATATACGATAACACACACATATACAGGGTGACCCAAAAAAAACGGGCCCCGTGCACACGGGGCCTATTAGTGTTGGGGCCCGTTTTTTTTGGGTCACCCTGTATTATACACATAAACCGCACTCAAAGACAAATATCCGTATTATAACCTGAACAGACTGTTGGGGCAAGGGCTGTTAGCGAGCACCTATGAAGGTCCGGCATGACACACGAGGGGGTGGGTGGCCAAAACCACACGCCTTTTTCTCCCTAGTGGCGATGTCCACATATTGCACCAGATACTCATTTGAGGCTGAGTCGACCTAGGGGTGGTCCAGAACCGATTCAGATAATCGTCACTGGTGTTGGCCGTGAGCGGGAATCCAACTCGCGTCACCGGTTCATAACGCAGCACGCAAACTATTGCTGCCCATTCATACCACAAATACACACACACAACGTATAAACACCACACACACACTCTACGCACCACATACACCATCATACACAGTCCACAAAACAAAGTACGCACCCTGCGCATACCATATAGAGTACACCACATGTACTGTACACACACACACACAGTGCACCACATATGCTACACACTCACCATCTGTGTCTTTCATGTCCACCTCATCCACCCACAAAATTACCCACTCAACTCTCTCAACCACCCATTTCTTCAACCCCAAACCAACCATCTTCATGTCATCTCTCTCTTCCACTTCATCTCAGCCTCATCATACGCCCAACACCCGGCCTCAACCACAACCTCCTATATCCCGTCCACTAAGCCATCCATATCCCATCTCACAAGCAACCTCATCATCAACCGGGCCCGCCACGCCCCCCCGCCCTCCCACCTTGTCCACCATGCTCATCCACTTGTGCAGGTCGAGGAAGGAGTCTCTGCGCGTGAGGTCGTATACGAGCAGGATTCCGCGCGCCCCCCGGTAGTAGGCCGACGTGATGCTGTTGAAGCGCTCCTGCCCAGCCGTGTCCCTGACCAGGGGCACAAACTCGGCAGGGTCAACTTCGGGAGGCTACCGACGTTGGGTTATCATCCTACAGCCGGGCAACCGATTCTGTGCTGGGGGCGTCGGCACCGTCGACTAGCCTAGGCAACTGACGAACGGACATCAACACTTAAGCCTTCGTCTTGATGCTAACAACAGTGGCCTGCCTACAGCTAGATTTTGATCCACCCTGGCCTGCCCATGATGATAATGACAATAATAATTATTTAAACTTGTAACGCTCCGATAATGCACGGTGTCTGCTTGCTCTCGATACGACGAGGAGGAACCAAAAACAAGCACAGAAGGCAACTCCAACGCGGTCAGCCAGGGAAAGAATTCCCCTCCTCAAGCTCTGCAATCCTCTATGTATAAAGTCTTATTGGACAATAAATGAGCGTTTACATGTTGGAGGAAACCGAAGCACCTGGAGAAAGCCCACACGTGCGAGGGGGCAACGCTCTATCCCCGTATATATGGAACAGTTTGACTCCACATTTACTGAACCACCTTCTGCTGGCGAGCCAGGGTATGACGTTTCTGCGATCCGCCAACCCTTGCTGCTTCCACAGTGATGCTGGATTACGGGCCACATGCACCATCACCACTCGGCAAACTTAAGGATGATCAATCCTGAGTTTAATCAAGCTGGGTTACGTGAGGAGCTCACATATCCTTGAAAGATCGCGACACATTTCCATAAGCAATGGAAGTGTTCACTGGGCCATGTATCCCGCATGTCCAGGCAGCTGCTGTTTGGCTGGATAGTGGAGGCTAAACGGGCTTGGCATGGCCTACAGAAAAGAGCGATTAGCTGATGTGTTACAGGAGAACCTGAGCTAAGCAGACTCCCTGATGACAAGTAACAGCGGTGTCAAGATCGACATCTGTGGAGGAGGCCCGTGAAGGACGCTACTGGGCAGTTGGAGGCTGTTGGCATCCAGCAACAACCGAGAGCAGAGGAGCGATGCCCACAACAACAACGAGCGGAGCAACAGGTGTATAAAATAAAGCAAAGTTTGCACAGTGGGGAGCACAGAATTTGCATCTGCCAGTCATCTCAGTCAGTCAACCCACGGCATCTGGGTCTGTCCCGTGACCTCCTGCCAGCCACCCTGGCACACTTCACGTGGTTTCAATATGCATCTATCCTGGCACAAGCACTGCTGTGACATCACGGCCACTTAGTGGTGAACGGCGGCTGTTGCGAAACGCGTACAGTGTACGCGTGCGTTCGAGAGGAGCGGTGGCGCATTGGTTAGCGCACTGCATTACTCACCCGGCCAACATCGGTGACAAATATCTGAACCAATCCTGGGCCTCCTCAAGGTCACCTCAGCAGCCTTATAAAACGAGCACCTGGTGTGGTGTGTAAACATCAGCTCCAGAAAGCCAAGGGGTGTAGCGTTGGCCACCAAAGCCCTCGTGGACTGAACCGGCTGTTATAGGTGCAGCGTGATCAGGAGTTAGCCCAACGGCCTACAGACGCTATACAGGAGAGACTTTGTCTTCGTGTGCGTGTTCGAGGCTCACCAGATCTGCAATCGGATTTTCTTTCCGCCAAGCTCGATGGTCTTGATTTTAAAATCAACGCCTGAGAGAGAGAGGGAGAGAGAGACACACAGATACGCCGATGCTGGCATCACCACCCACCACAGACCACAGAGTCCTGTCGCAGGGTGGATACCCACACACGCAGATTTGTTGCGTCTAGTTTGTTGTCCTTTCCTCGCAACTCTCCGATGATCACAGTTGGCTACGTACGGTGCGAACGAAGTTCAACATACATACACACGGCTACAGACCGCGAGGGCACAGGTCTGTGTGTTAGGGCAAGTACGTATGTGTACAAGTGGTGGGGAGCGGTGGCGCAGAGCTTAGAGCGTTTTGCCACGAACCCGGTGACACGAGTGCGCTCACGAAACAATACCAGTGAACCGGTGTTGGGCCTCCACTAGGTCCACTCTGCCGCAAACGAGTACACCTAGTGCGGAGTGTCAACATTAGCACTGGGGAGACAAAGGCGGCCGGTCGTGGTGCTGCTGGCCACCCACCCCCTTCGTGTGACGCGCCGGCCTTCATAGGCGCTTGCTAACAGCACTTGCCCCAACAGTCTACTGAGGCTACATGGGGGACCTTTGTCTTTACACAGCAGTTCATGTGCATAAACATGTGTATCTAGAGCCTAGCATCTGTGTGTATACAGGCGTGCGTGCGAGTAGAACCGTGCACGTGTACACATTCGGGCACGTCCATGTATACATACAGGCGTGTGTAACAGAGGTCGCAACCGGGTACCCGATACCCGTACCTTACCCGATACCCGGCTACCCGTACCCGGCCGGGTACGGGTACGGGTAGCCGTTTGCGACCCTGGTGCGGCCGGGTACGGGTACGGATAGGCCGTGAGTCACTGGTGAGTAACTGTTTGTCACTCATTCGGGTAGGGTACGGGTACAGGTAGGGAACGGGTACCCGTACCCAGCCGACCCTGGTGCGGCCGGGTACGGGTAAGGAATCAAAACCCGTTTGCGACCCTGGTGCGGCCGGGTACGGGTAGGCCGTGAGTCACTGGTGAGTAACTGTTTGTCACTCATTCGGGTAGGGTACGGGTACGGGTAGGGAACGGGTACCTGTACCCGGCTGGGTACGGGTACCCATTTGCGACCCTGGTGCGGCCGGGTACGGGTAAGGAATCAAAACCCGTTTGCGACCTCTGGTGTGTAATGGTTAGCGCACTGCTCCATGAACCTAGCGATCCGAGTTGTATTCCTGCTCACGGTGAACCGGTCCTGGGCCTCCCCTAGGTCGGCGTGTACCGGGTGTGATTGGTAAACATCGCCACGAGGGAGACAAAGGCGGGCAGGCATGTGCTGGCCAACCAACCCCTCGTGTACAGTTACATTACCGGCCTTCATAGGCGCTAACTTGCCCTATCGGAATGCTAACGGCTACAAGGGGAGGGTCGTTGTGTATAGCATGTGTATTGAGGCACGCGTGTGTGTGTGTGATTGTGTAGAGGCGTGTGTTAGTATCACGTAACAGCCACAGCTTGCAGGAGAGTGCCATGTTACTCACAGGCGCGTGTTATTGGCCATGGCATGCACACACCAACAAACATTAGCTCACACATTCTGTTGGATTTTGATTGATAGCTTTCGTGACTGCAGGGATTCATATTCTTGGTTCTTTCGGTCGGTAAAGTCACGTAGAAGGAAAATAATAAAATAATATAAATATAAAACAATACAAATTCTCACGACGTTTCGACTGCAACACAAGCAATCATCGTCAGGTGTGAAATCCACACATTTTCTTGCTGACACACGAGGTGGGCGTGGCTAGAACCACAGGTGGCCGCCTTTGTCTCCCCAGTGCTGATGTTTCACACCCACCCTGTCCTGCTTTCCCTCCTCCGTATGGTGCGTCTGTGTCTGTGCCCCCCGTCTCTTAGAGCCGTCGTGTTATTGTGTCAACCCACTGCTGGATGAGGGCCTGCCCATGCTGTCTCGGGGCGTGGAAGTTATTTGATAAATTATTTTATTTCATAAATAATTTTTTTTATTTTCTACCTACGTGACTGTACCGAAAGAACCAAAGAGTATGGATTCCTGCAATCACGAAAGCTTCAAATCAACATTTGACCATAATTCACGTGCTACCCACCATGGTGGCGAGACATTAACTACCTCGCCTGGTATAAAGGTCTTAGGTTCAAACCCGATCCTAACGCCTGTATACAGTATTTGGAGTTTGCGTGTTCTCTCTCTCTGCTCGAGGTCACGTGCATTTCTCTCGGGGCCCTCCGGTTTTTCCGTCCGCATTCATAAGCACGCGTTTAGAGCATTTGGCTGCCATACATTTCCACATTAGCCACTTCGTTGAGCTATCATTTCTAGCCAGGTCGCTTCAGAAAAAATGCAGTAAAACTCGGCGGTGGGCCTTACCGGCTAAAATAAAAAATACTGTCGTTTATAGTTTTATAGTTTAACGAAAACCCTGCAGCCACCTATAACAACCTGTTATCTTTAAACTATTTTTATTTCACCAGGTAAGGCCCACTGAGCTACAGTATATAGCTTTTTTCAGAAGTGACCTGGCCACAAATGATAGCTCAACGAAAGTGTCTTGCCGTCACGTGTACATTTATAGTAGCCAAATACTTTAAACGCACGCTTCTGCTGTGCACGTGTGGGCACCAATCCGAGCACTATCCAGGCTCAAGGTTGCTTAGCTTCTGACAAGTTCGCGCGCATTCCGGGGTGATTTGGCCATGGGAGAGCAGATTTTTTTCCGAGAGGCTCAACTGGGACACATGGGTCAGTGGGTAGCACCGCCTACTTTTACATAGCCGCGCCCACTCGACCGCTAGCACCGCACACAGTGAGCGGATTCGCTGCTTCTGAAGCTGGCCCCACCCCTTGTCCAGGTAGCTCCGCCCCCTGTCCGTGTAGCCCCGCCCCTACCCCAGGTAGCCCCGCCTCCCTTTTGGCCGAGGCCAAAACATTTGAAACCCGTGGCCAAATTTCGGATTTACGCAAAAACTGTTGGACCTTCTGCAATCACTGGAATGTCGCGGTGGCTGAATTAAAGTCCCAAACCTGGAACTTTGGTTGATTCCTTCCCTCCGCTAATCTCTTATATTCTCTTTTATGAATGAATGTAGTTGTGCAAGTTTGATTTCTGTACTTTAAAAAATATTATTTATCATTAGCGACTTGCTTACTTTTTCTCTATCTTGCTCTTCTACCGGTTTTGGTTGTTGCTTTGCTTGTTGATATAACTTTCTGGACGTGTTTTGAGGGGGGGGGGGGAGTGTGAAGATCTTCATAGCTTCTAGATTTGAAGCATTCGTGACTGCAAAGATTCATACTCTTAGGTTCTTTCGGTAAAGTCACGTAGGTAAAAATAATAATGAAATAATAATAAATGAAAATAACTACAATTACTGGAGCAGTTTTTTTACTGGAACAGTTACACCTGATGACGGAGGCTTGTGTTGCTTCTGAAACGTCGTGATTTAATTTAGTTATTTTCATTTATTATTATTTTATTTCATTATTATTTTTTACCTACGTGACTTTACCGAAAGAACCTACGAGTAAGCTTCATAGCTCATCGGATTCCTCCTCGTCCATTCTAAATAAAGATTTCCCTCTTCTTCACGAGATATTCCATCTCCCTCTTGGAGGTCCCCCTCCTCTACCCCGTCTCTCTCCCCGTGCACCGAGAGGCAAGTCTTCTCGTCTATATTTAACCCTATTCCCCGAATAGCGGCGCTTGGGATGAGGGAGGAGGATGGGGGGGGGGGTGGTGGTGAGGCAATCTACGTGCATCCTCTAGGTAGACTCGGCCTTAAACGTGCACAACACGTGCGTGCGACGGTGCGGATCGTTCATTCACACCCCAGCGGTATCGAACGGCGTTAAGGCGAAGGCGGCCAGCGAGATTCATGGTTAAAAAATAGCCTGCTTCATATTATTGGCCTGGAAAGCCAATTTAGCCTGGTGGACCATAAATATTATTGCTCTTATGTGGAAACAAAGAAGAGTACAGAGTTCTGCTTATCTTTAACCAATAACAAAGGTTACCCCTGCCCCCATGTATACGAACATAATACAAGTGTACATAGACAAAGATCCCCTGTATAGCCTACATAGACTGTTGGGGAAAGTGCTGTTAGTCAACACCAATCAAACCCGGCAAAGCGCACGAGTTGGTGGTGTGATGTGGCCTGAAACCACTCCCGGCCGCCTTTGTCTCTTCAGTTATGATGCTTTTACACGCACAGTACAGGGAACGTATTTGAGGCTGAGTCGACCGAGGGGTGGCCCTAAACAGGTTTTGTATTTTGTTTAGATAATTTGGCTGCTATACATTTCCACACGATAAGCCACTTCTTTAAGCTATACTTTGTGGCAAGGTCGCTTCTGAAGAAAGCTCATAGCTCAGTGGGCTTTACCTGGTAAAATAAAACAATTGTCATTTTCTTACCTTTCCTACACTTTGCATTCCTATCGTGTTTTCAAACTGTTTGTTGTTGTAACTTTCTGACCCGCCCCTACTGGACATCCGTGAATAGAGCTTGATAGCTCATCAGATTCTTCCAGGAAAAATAAAGATCCTGATTTTGATATCCATTGGTAGTGAGCGACAGTAATATATAACACGTAGAAAGTAAGTTATTTCTTTTCACTTCTGCTCAAGGTTTACGGTCCTGTGTTGACCTATGTCTTGTTAATGTGTCTTGTAGTTAACACTACGGCTCCGTGTGCTCCCAGTCTTGTGTTGTCTTTGTATTATTGGTTATTGTGGCCCCAATGTGAGTGTTTGTGTTGTTGGTTGCGTGGTTCTGTTAGTCTGTATTTGTGTTGTTGATTGTGGTTCTGTTAGTCTGTGTTTGTGTTGTTGGTTGCGTGGTTCTGTTAGTCTGTGTTTGTGTTGTTGGTTCTGTGGTCCTAATGTTAGTCTGTGTTTGTGTTGTTGGTTGCGTGGTTCTGTTAGTCTGTGTATGTGTTGTTGGTTGCGTGGTCCTAATGTTAGTCTGTGTTTGTGTTGTAGGTTGCGTGGTTCTGTTAGTCTGTGTTTGTGTTGTTGGTTGCGTGGTCCTAATGTTAGTCTGTGTTTGTGTTGTAGGTTGCGTGGTTCTGTTAGTCTGTGTTTGTGTTGTTGGTTCTGTGGTCCTAATGTTAGTCTTTGTTTGTGTTGTAGGTTGCGTGGTTCTGTTAGTCTGTGTTTGTGTTGTTGGTTCTGTGGTCCTAATGTTAGTCTTTGTTTGTGTTGTAGGTTGCGTGGTTCTGTTAGTCTGTGTTGTTGGTTGTGGTTCTAATGTTAGTCTTTGTTTGTGTTGTAGGTTGCGTGGTTCTGTTAGTCTGTGTTTGTGTTGTTGGTTCTGTGGTCCTAATGTTAGTCTTTGTTTGTGTTGTAGGTTGCGTGGTTCTGTTAGTCTGTGTTTGTGTTGTTGGTTGCGTGGTCCTAATGTTAGTCTGTGTTTGTGTTGTAGGTTGCGTGGTTCTGTTAGTCTGTGTTTGTGTTGTTGGTTCTGTGGTCCTAATGTTAGTCTTTGTTTGTGTTGTAGGTTGCGTGGTTCTGTTAGTCTGTGTTTGTGTTGTTGGTTCTGTGGTCCTAATGTTAGTCTTTGTTTGTGTTGTAGGTTGCGTGGTTCTGTTAGTCTGTGTTGTTGGTTGTGGTTCTAATGTTAGTCTTTGTTTGTGTTGTAGGTTGCGTGGTTCTGTTAGTCTGTGTTTGTGTTGTTGGTTCTGTGGTCCTAATGTTAGTCTGTGTTTGTGTTGTAGGTTGCGTGGTTCTGTTAGTCTGTGTTTGTGTTGTTGGTTGCGTGGTCCTAATGTTAGTGTTGTGTTTGTGTTGTTGGTTCTGTGGTCCTAATGTTAGTCTGTGTTTGTGTTGTTGGTTGCGTGGTTCTGTTAGTCTGTGTTTGTGTTGTTGGTTGCGCGGTTCTGTTAGTCTGTTTGTGTTGTTGGTTGTGGTCCTAATTTTAGTCTGTGTTTGTGTTGTTGGTTGCGTGGTTCTGTTAGTCTGTGTTTGTATTGTTGGTTGCGTGGTCCTAATGTTAGTGTTGTGTTTGTGTTGTTGGTTCTGTGGTCCTAATGTTAGTCTGTGTTTGTGTTGTTGGTTGCGTGGTTCTGTTAGTCTGTGTTTGTGTTGTTGGTTGTGTGGCCCTAATATTAGTCTGTGTTTGTGTTGTAGGTTGCGTGGTTCTGTTAGTCTGTGTTTGTGTTGTTGGTTGCGCGGTTCTGTTAGTCTGTGTTTGTGTTGTTGGTTGCGTGGTTCTGTTAGTCTGTGTTTGTGTTGTAGGTTGCGTGGTTCTGTTAGTCTGTGTTTGTGTTGTTGGTTGTGGTCCTAATGTTAGTCTGTGTTTGTGTTGTAGGTTGCGTGGTTCTGTTAGTCTGTGTTTGTGTTGTTGGTTGCGTGGTTCTGTTAGTCTGTGTTTGTGTTGGTGGTTCTGTTAGTCTGTGTTTGTGTTGTTGGTTGCGTGGTCCTAATGTTAGTCTTGTGTTTGTGTTGTTGGTTGTGTGGTTCTAATGTTAGTGTTGTTGGTTGTGTTGTTGGTTGTGGTTCTGTTAGTATTGTGTTTGCGTTGTTAGTTGTGCGTGTTGTGGCTGTTGTTGACTCGTGTGATTCCATGGTATATTTAGAGTCTGGACACAGTGTGTGTTATCAGAGCGTGAATAGATGCGATAGTTCATGTGTTGGTGCTAACTGGAGGTTACGGTACAGACCCATGTGTTATAAGTTAACTGTTGTGCCAGGCTAGGTGCACTTTGCGGCTATCGCGTGAAGTGTGGAAGGTCAAGGGGACAGACCCAGGTGCAATGGATCAGCCGATTCAAGATGACTGACGGATGTGCGACCGGTGATTCTCACTCTTCCAACTCAAAGTGCACCGTGCCTGGCACAAGCGCTGTCCTGGGTGTGTTCGTGACGAATGGGCGCTGTTGTTGACGATATGAGTGCGGTGTGAGTAGATGGAGTGGTGGCGCAGTGGTTATCGATAACATCAGTGGCGAGTGTCGTCTGAACCGGTCCTAGACCTCCTCTAGGTCGGTGCGGCCTCAAATAGGTACCCAATGCAGTGTCATCATTAGAAAGGGAAAGACAAAGAAGGCCGGGCCGTGGTTGTGCGACGAACCGGCCTTTATAGGTGTTCGCCAACAGCACTTGCCCAACAGTATATGCAAAGGCTATACGGGGGAGCTTTGTCTTTGTCCGCAAACCTCATGCCAACCTGTCCCCGTGTCTAATTGTGCCCCAATGACCCTCCTCTGTCTTGTTTCCGTGTTCCCCACGTCCCTCCTGTCCACTCCGCGTCTCCCTGTGCCCGAGTGGCACCACCCCGCGTTTCCTCCACACGCCCATGTCATCAAGGCTCCTTCCTCTCATCCCTGCATCCCCTTGTCCCCCTGTCACCGTGTCCCCCTGTCTCTTCCCTCTGTCCCCGTCTGTCCCGCTATGTGTCCCTGTATCTGTCTAATACCTGTCTCATCGTGTCCTAAACTCAACGTCTTCATGTGCACACCCCTCCTGATGTCTCTCCCACGCGTCAATTCCTCTCCGTATCCTCATGTCCATCCTGGTCCCCGTGTGTGTGCCCCCCGTCTCTCTCCTCGTCTCTCCGTCGCTTATGATGCCCCCTCCATGTGCACCGCTGTCTCCTCTGTCACCCCCACTGTCTCCCCATGCCCTCAATGCCCCCGTGTCTCCCCATGCCCTCTGCCCCCCGTGTCTCCCCATGCCCTCAATGCCCCCGTGTCTCCCCATGTCTCCTCTGCCCCCCCACCGTCTCCCCAGTATCTCCTTGTGTCCCTAAACTCCCTAAACTCCATGTCCTCATTCATGCCCACGTGTCTCTCCTGGCGTCTCCCCATGTCCCCCCCCTCCCATAAATCCACGTCTCCTCCGTCTCCCATGCACCTCGCCCACCCACTGTGTGTCTCCCCCTCTCCCCTCATGACCCACGCACACCACCCAGCCCCCGGCACCTCGCCCACCCAGTGTGCGTCTCCCCACCCAGCCCCCGGCACCACGCACACCACTCAGCCCCCGGCACCTCGCCCACCCACTGTGTGTCTCCCCCTCTCTGCCCCCCTCATCATCACCCACGCACACCACCCAGCCCCCGGCACCTCGCCCACCCACTGTGTCTCCCCCTCATAGCCCCCCTCATTACCCACGCACACCACCCAGCCCAGCACCTCGCCCACCCACTGTGTGTCTCCCTCTCTCTGCCCCCCTCATCATCACCCACGCACACCACCCAGCCCCCGGCACCTCGCCCACCCACTGTGTCTCCCCCTCATAGCCCCCCTCTATACCCACGCACACCACCCAGCCCCCGGCACCTCGCCCACCCACTGTGTGTCTCCCCCTCATCACCCACGCACACCACCCAGCCCCCGGCACCTCGCCCACCCACTGTGTGTCTCCCCCTCATAGCCCCTCTCATCACCCACGCACACCACCCAGCCCGCGGCACCTCGCCCACCCACTGTGCGTCTCCCCCTCATAGCCCCCCTCATCACTACCCACGCACACCACCCAGCCCCCCTCATCACCCACGCACCCACTGTGGACTTGCACGCGTCGCTGTAGGCGTCGTCCGTGAACCTCTCCATGAGGCTCGTCTTGCCCACGCCGCGGTTCCCGATGAGGATCAGCTGGAACTTGAGGTCCGCGGGCCGCGGGGGAACTCGTCCCGAGGGGGTCCTCCGGCCCCGCGGGGTCCCTGCGGGGGTCAGTGTCCCCCCTCCTCCTCCTCCCCCCACGACGAGGCTACCCGACCCGGGGCTCCGAGCGGTCAAAGCCCCCGGGGTCCGTGACCCCATCGGGGTGATCCCCGAGGCGGGAGGGATCCGAGTGTTGACGCTGCCAGGACCCTGGGACCCCAGCGGGATGGGGGTCCCCGAACCGCGAAACCGCTTCTCCGCGGCGCCGGCCCCGCCGCCCAACTCCATGTTGCTGTGGCCGGGTCCTTGTCGCGCCTCGCTTGTCTCGCTCGGAGGCGAGGCGTTGAGGCCCCCGAGTCGTCGGGGGGTTTCGGGGGTTTCGTTGCGAGGGGGTCCCCGGGGCTTCTCAACTCGTGGGCGCACGACCCCCCGAAAAACTTTGAGGGGCGTGCAGTGCGCATGCGTCAACAACAGCTGTGCGTCACCCTCAGCCCCGCCCCTCAGACTCACGTCTCCCCCCCGCAGCCCCTCCCCTCCCCTCATCACAGTAGCCCCTCCCTCTCACCACGTGACCCGTCCCCCACCACAGTAGCCCCTCCTCCATCACAGTAGCCCCTCCCCCCACCACAGTAGCCCCTCCCCCCCACCACAGTAGCCCCTCCCCCCCACCACGTGACCTCCCCCTACCACAGTAGCCCCTCCCCCCACCACAGTAGCCCCTCCCCCCCACCACAGTAGCCCCTCCCCCCCACCACGTGACCTCCCCCCACCACAGTAGCCCCTCCCCCCACCACAGTAGCCCCTCCCCCCACCACAGTAGCCCCTCCCCCCACCACAGTAGCCCCTCCCCCCCACCACGTGACCTCCCCCCACCACAGTAGCCCCTCCCCCCATCACAGTAGCCCCTCCCCCTCACCACGTGACCCCTCCCCCATCACAGTAGCCCCTCCCCCTCACCACGTGACCCCTCCCCCCATCACAGTAGCCCCTCCCCCCCACCACGTGACCCCTCCCCCCCACCACAGTAGCCCCTCCCCCATCACAGTAGCCCCTCCCCCCACCACAGTAGCCCCTCCCCCCACCACAGTAGCCCCTCCCCCCCACCACGTGACCTCCCCCCACCACAGTAGCCCCTCCCCCCATCACAGTAGCCCCTCCCCCCACCACAGTAGCCCCTCCCCCCCACCACAGTAGCCCCTCCCCCCCACCACGTGACCTCCCCCCACCACAGTAGCCCCTCCCCCCATCACAGTAGCCCCTCCCCCTCACCACGTGACCCCTCCCCCCATCACAGTAGCCCCTCCCCCCCACCACGTGACCCCTCCCCCCCACCACAGTAGCCCCTCCCCCCATCACAGTAGCCCCTCCCCCCCACCACAGTAGCCCCTCCCCCTCACCACGTGACCCCTCCCCCCATCACAGTAGCCCCTCCCCCCCACCACAGTAGCCCCTCCCCCCATCACAGTAGCCCCTCCCCCCCACCACAGTAGCCCCTCCCCCTCACCACGTGACCCCTCCCTCATCACAGTAGCCCCTCCCCCTCACCACGTGACCCCTCCCCCCCACCACAGTAGCCCCTCCCCCCATCACAGTAGCCCCTCCCCCCCACCACAGTAGCCCCTCCCCCCATCACAGTAGCCCCTCCCCCCACCACAGTAGCCCCTCCCCCACCACGTGACCCCTCCCCCCACCACAGTAGCCCCTCCCCCCCACCACAGTAGCCCCTCCCCACCACAGTAGCCCCTCCCCCCACCACGTGACCCCTCCCCCCCACCACGTGACCCCTCCCCCCCACCACAGTAGCCCTTCCCCACCCAGCCCCACCCCTCCCACCCTCCCCACCCAGCCCCTCCCCACCCTCCCCTCCACCCAGCCCCACCCCTCCCATTTTTTGATGCACGACGGACGGACGGACACAATAATCCCCTGTGGGCTGGTGTAACCAGGTGGTTCCTACCAGTACAAATATTCTGAAGGGGGTTGCTGAGATTCATCTTCTTGGTTCTTTCGGTAAAGTCACGTAGAATTGAAATAATAAAATAATAAAAATTAAACATAATGGCCGAAACGTCGTGAGAATTGTATTTTATTATGTTTTATTTTTATTATTTTATTATTTCCATTCTACGTGATGACTTTACCGAAAGAACCAAGAAGATGAATCCCTGCAGTCACGAAAGCTTTAAATCGAAATAAAAGTTGCTGAGATTGTTCCGCCCCGCCCCCTATCCCCGTGGCCCCGCCCCCTATCCCCGTGGCCCCGCCCCCTATCCCCGTGGCCCCGCCCCCTATCCCCGTGGCCCCGCCCCCTACCCACCCAATCCATCTGTTCGTTCTGGAATTCCTCTGACTCCCGTCCGTGACCCCCCGCGATTCAAGAGAATATGGTCACGAATCGATTACAAGAATCATATTCTTGGATCTTCGATTCCAAGAATCGATTCTCTTTCCATCATAGCGGTTTTTTTTGGGGTATATCGCGTAAGGGATTTAAGAAATGTGACGTCACATCAAAATGCGCAACTTTAAATAAATACAGACAACACGTTCCACTTAATTAAATCTACTTTTTAATAAATGATTTCTCCTACAACATCAGAGTGCAGCGCCACATTAAATACGCACTACAATGACAATAGTTTAAAGCGCTTTGAAGCATGTTTTATTTGGGGGGGGGGGGGGGCAGAGCTTTGTGACGTCATATTTTGGGGGGGGGGGTCTGACTTTTTGTAACGCCGTGTAACGTCATTTATGGACGGCCCCTAAATATAAATGTGTCGTTAAATACTCCACCACCCGATAGAGACAGTTAGTAAGGTTTTCCACGTAAACGTTTGTCACTTAAACGTGACACTAAACCTTACCAATTGGCTGTGTCGGGTGTTGGCGGGTTTAACGACACATTTATATATTTACGCGATCTAACCCACGAAACTTCTGGCATGGATAACACTGGTCAACAAAAAAAAAATTCTGGCCTGGACTTTTGCAGCTGTTTTAGACTAATTGCAGGGTGCTGATTCCAAATCTGATCTCAGATTTGCTCTATCACATCTCATTTTATGTTATCGGCATACCCCATTTTCATTGATTTTACCCGAAATTAACTCTGTCACTTATGATTGCAAGTTGTTGCGAGTCAGTGACTGCTTTAGTGTTAAAATATGGTGCTGTATTTTTAGGATAGTGTGTTTATAATATCATTTTATGTAGATATCCACATTTATTTAATATTTTTCTTCTGCAGTTTTTATTAAAAATGCAATATTTGATATCTCAAAAACCTGATGTGATAGACAAAAACTGATGCCAGATTTGGAATCAGCACCCCGAAATTACCTTCAAACCGTTGGAATACCTTATGCCAGAAAAAGTGTGTTGACCAGTGTAATATTTGTCGTGAAAGCCTCCTGCGTATTCGATTAGCTCTGTTGTACTGAACTACCGAGTCTTTGAGAAAACGCGAACTCAACTCATTAGTCGGGAAATAAACTTCTGATTCTGATCTCCATCATCATCATCAGCGTCGTCATCAGCCATGATCTAACCCACTGCCGGGTGAAGAATCAGAATCTTCATATCGACTGGAGGAATCCGATGAGCTATGAAGCTCTTATTCTTAGGTTTTTTTTCCGGTAAAGTCACGTAGGTAAAATTTTTTTAAAATTAATAAAAGTAAAATAAAAATAAAAATCACGACGTTTCGGAGGCAACACAAGCTTCCGTCTTCAGGTGGAACCGTCACAGCACGATAGCTGTATGATACAGCTATGTATGATACAGCTATCGTGCTGTGACGGTTCCACCTGAAGACGGAAGCTTGTGTTGCCTCCGGAACGTCGTGAGTTTTATTTTATTTTTATTTTACTTTTATTAATTAAAAAAAAATTTACCTACGTGACTTTAACGAAGAAAAACCTAAGAATATGAATCCTTGCAGTCACGAAAGCTTCAAATCTAGAACTCTGAAGTTCTCTTTTCACGGATGTTGAGTCGGGGCGGGTCAGCAAGTGACACCAACAAAATCATCGGAGTGCAAAATAGAAAAAAATGTTAGCGAGGCACTCACATCAATAACTAATCGAGTACAAATTGCGAAGGTCCACGAATTCCTGCAGATTCTTCAACACTAAATGCAAGAAGACCTCCCTAAGCCAACTTCTTGCCACTTTAACACGCAGCCTTTCGCGACCAATATTTTTCAAAATAAATGTTTCAATCAAGATTGAAGTATAGATGTGTCGAAACCATGCTGCCCCGAGGCAGCCTACAGCACCCTGCCATGCATACATGCACGGTGGTGGTAGTCACCCACATGTTGTATCATTAAATAACCTGCTTCAAACCTACTTGCCTTGCGAGATCTGGGCGCTGTCCGTCGCACGGGCGCGTGCGTGCGTGTGTTGTGTGCATGTACACACAGTGCAGTATCATGAGCACAGCAAACATATAAACACACACACACACACCACCCCAATATAACCTTGAAAGTAGCACTGTGCAGACACAAGCTCGGACAGCGAACACATGTTAAGGTCACATTGATCGAGGGGGAGATTTGACCAGAGTTTTGCATGAATCGGGTTACATTTCAAACTGAGTCGACCTAAAGGAAGCCTAGGCCACGTAAATGACCACTGGTATTGATGCACATCGCGGGGGCGTGTATCATACCACCCTCCAGTGAAGATAGCCGCTGACGGGAAATCGTCCCCATAAGTGCTCGTGCCAGGCTAGGTGCACTTTAAGGGCGTCACGTAGAGTGTGGAAAGCTCGCTGCTGGCGGTCACGGGGCAAAGACAAAGATCCCCCGAACAGCCTTTAACAGACTGTAGGGGCAAGTGCTGTCAGCCAGCACATATGAAGGCCGGCACGGCACACGAGGGGGTGGGTGGCCAGTACCACGCCCGACCGCCTTTGTCTCCCCAGTGGCGATGTTTACACACCGCACCAGGTATTCATTTGAGACTGAGTCGACCTAGGGGAAGCCCAGGACTGGTCTAGATATTGTCCCCGGTGTTGGCCGTGTCACACACACACGAGGTGTCACACACACACACGAGGTGTCACACACACACACGCAGTGTCACACACACACACGCATGAAGTATCACACACACACGCATGAAGTATCACACACACACACGCAGTGTCACACACACACACGCAGTGTCACACACACACGCATGAAGTATCACACACACACACGCAGTGTCACACACACACACACGAAGTGACACACACGCAGTGTCACACACACACACACGAGGTGTCACACACACACACGAGGTGTCACACACACACACGCAGTGTCACACACACACACGCATGAAGTATCACACACACACGCATGAAGTATCACACACACACACGAAGTGACACACACGCAGTTTAACACACACACACACTCTCACACACACACACGCAGTGTCACACACACACGAAGTGTCACACACACACACACAAGGTGTCACACACACACGCAGTGTCACACACACACACGCACGAAGTATCACACACACACACACACGCAGTGTCACACACACACACGAGGTGTCACACACACACACACGAGGTGTCACACACACACACACGCAGTGTCACACACACACACGCTTGAAGTATCTCACACACACACGCAGTGTCACACACACACACACACGCAGTGTCACACACACGCACACGCATGAAGTATCACACACACGAGGTATCACACACACACACTCTCTCACACACACACACGCAGTGTCACACACACACACACGCATGGAGTATCACACACACACACACGCGGTATCACACACACACACACGAAGTGACACACACGCAGTTTCACACACACACACTCTCTCACACACACACACACGCAGTGTCACACACACACACGAAGTGTCACACACGCACGTGTCCACGCTTCTTGGGGGGGTGTTTATTGTCGCGACCGTGGTCACGTGAACAAGCAGGGGGTGGGGGCTGGGGGTATAGAGGGGGGGGGCGTGTTCATCATGAACATCATCATCATTAACATAATCAAACGAATCATTAACAACATCAACATCAACGATTTTATCCGTGACCGCAAATGACGGAAAATGTGGTCCTGACAACACAGAGAGGATGGAGAAAGCGCCTTCAAACCATCATCACCGTCATTACCACCATCTTCCGATCACTATCGTCCACGTAAAACTTCACCATCACCATCATTACCACCATCATCACCATGATTATCATCCTCGCCATCATATTCACCATCATCACCATCATTATCATCCTCCTCCTCACTATCATTGCCACCATGACCCCCATCACCACCATAATCATTATCATCTTATCACAGCCATCATTATCACCATCATATTCACCATCACCACCATGAGCATCACTCCTATCATCATCACCACCACCATCGTCGTTACCACTACCACTATCATAATTTTCAGTCGTATTTGTCCTGTCCTGGTAATAAGTATTTAAAATGTAATTAGTCAAAAGCCTCTGAAGTTTTTTTAGCGTGGACACAATTGACATTCATCCAAAATAAGTATTGATTTCAGGAGTCGATTATTCGCTACACATCATCAAAAACAACGATCCCCCGTACAGCCTTAACAGAATGTTGGGGCAAGTGCTGTTAGCGAGCACCTACGAAGGCTGGCACGGCACACGAGGAGATGGATGGCCACCACCAGTGACGATGTTTACACACCGCACCAGGTACTCATTTGAGGCTGAGTCGACCTAGGGGAGGCGCAGGACCGGTTCAGATATTCGTCACTGGTGTTGGCCGTGAGCGGGAATTGAACTCGGGATACCGCGTTCGTAGCGCAGCGCGCTACCCGCTACATAGAAACGAAACGTAAACACGTGATATGAATATAGCGATTTGAATAAAAGCTATAATCGATGTGTACGTGGCGCGTTTTTTGTTCTTTCTGAAATCCAAAGCCGCAAAACGTCAAGCGGCAATGCAACATCCAACGCTGTCAATGTTATTCATAGTTCAGAGTAGAACACGTGTCTTAAATCGGGGCATGATGTTGACTACAGACCACTGTGGTGGCGAGATGTTAACTACCTCGCCTGGTATGCAGGAGGCCGTGGGTTCGATCCCGACCCTAACGCCTGCTGCTGTATATTTGGTGTGCGTCTCTCTTCTCTCATCATCATCATCACGGTGGCTAGGAGATGTTAACTACCTCGCCTCGTACGCAGGAGGCCGTGGGTTCGATCCCGACCCTGACGCCTGCTGCTGTATATTTGGAGTGCGTCTCTCTTCTCTCATCATCATCACGGTGGCTATGAGATGTTAACTACCTCGCCTGGTATGCAGGAGGTCGTGGGTTCGATCCCGACCCTGACGCCTGCTCCTGTATATTTGGAGTCTGCGGTGTCTCTCTCCATGTGGTCGCGTTGATTTTATCTCCGGATCCTCCGGTTTTCCCTCCACATTTAGAATCAACATCACGCGTTTCGACTATTTGGCTGCTATAAATGTCCAAGTGATGATAACCCAACTTCCTTGAGCAATCACATGCGGCCGGTCGCTTCCGAAAAAGATCTGCACAGCTCAGAGGGACCTGACCTGGTGACTTAAATCAAAATCCTCCGAGCCACGTGGAGTGGTTCGATTTCTATCGACGGCTGCGTTCGTCGCTGTAGGAAATTATTCGGTCGAAAACCTCCAACCCATCTGATCGAATGAACTGGTCGAGCATCGGAAACGATTTCAATAATCGAGCAGTCATTATTTAAAATATACTGTATACTAAAATTGATCACTTTAAATTGCGATGAATTAAAAAACGACTTAAAATGTGCATAAATTATAATTAACGTCGGAAATTAACATAAATGATTATGGTTAGTAACAGCTGTTAATGATCAGGCTGTTACTATAATACTGTTGTGCAATCATAATCCAATAATACTATTTGAGAATTATAAGAAAAATATACGCTAGTGATATATATACTGTGGTGATATTAAAATAAATATTAAGCAATATAATATTGAATAATAACGGTGTATGTACTATACTGTATACATACACAGCTATAACAGAGACAAAGACCCCCTGTATAGCCTTAACAGACTGTTGGGGCAAGTGCTGTTAGCGAGCACCTATGAAGGCTGGCACGGCACACGAGTTGGTATGGTCAGAACCATGTGAGGCCGCCTTTGTCTCCCCAATGAAACTCATTTGAGGTTGAGTCGCCCTAGGGGAGGCCCAGGACCGGTTCAGATTAATCGTCACTATTGTTGGCCATGAGCTGGAATCGAACTCGGGTGACCGAGTTGGTAGCGCAGCGCGCCAACCACTGCACCACCGCTCCCCACACGTACACGGACACCAATACAATAAAGAAATCCGTTGAATAACACAAAGACACACACAACATATATACATGCACTACACTCATACAAAAGACAAAGATCCCCTCTATAGCCTTTACAGGCTGTTGGGGCAAGTGCTGTTAGCGAGCACCTGTGAAGGGCGTAACGTCACACGAGGGAGGGGGGGTGGGGTGGCCGACACCACGCCCGACCGCCTTTGTCTTCCCAATGGTGATATTTATACATAAGGATTTCATTTGAGGCTGAGTCGACCGAGGGGAGGCCCGGGACCGGTTTAGATAATCGTCACTGATGTGACGATCGTGAAGCCAGAAATTGGAACTCGGGTCGCCGGGTTTGTATTGCAGCGCGCTAACCACTGCACCACCGCTCCCCACTGATCGGCATCTCGCCAGAGGTCGCAACCGGATACCCGATACCCGTACCCTACCCGATACCCGGCTACCCGTACCCGGCCGGGTAGGGTACCCGTTTGCGACCCTGGTGCGGTCGGGTACGGGTACGGGTAGGCCGTGAGTCACTGATGAGTAACCGTTTGTCACTCATTTCGGGTAGGGCACGGGTACGGGTAGCGTACCACTACCCGGGTACCCATTTGCCACCCTGGTGCGGCCGGGTACGGGTAAGGAATCAAAACCCGTTTGCGACCTCTGCATCTCGCACACGCACGCCCGCCTCGATCCAACAAAACACAATTGATAATTCCTGACTTAAAGCTTTCGGGACTGCATGAATTTATATTCTCTGGGTCTTTCGGTAAAGTCACGAGATAGGTTCAAATTAATACAAATAAAATAAAGCGACGACGTTTCGATCACAACATAAGCGATCGTCATCAGAATCGTCGTAGTTTTTTGTTTATTTGTTATTAATTTGAACCAATCTACGTGACTTTACCGAAAGACCCAACAGAACAGCAATTGATCATGTTAATGACTAACGCAGCAACTGGGTTACCCAACCATTTCTGCCGAGTCGATCCAGAGAAGGTTCAAGCCGGGCTCGGATACCGATTGTGGCACTCACTGGTGGTGGTGATGATGATGATGTTCATCACGGTCGGAAATTGAACCGTGGGTTCGTACCATTACGACACCACGACACGCACACACACGCACTGTTACATGCACACACAATACACAAAGGTCCCCCACGTAGCCATGTATACTGGGTGGGGCAAGTGCTGTTAGCGAGCACCTATTAAGGGCGGCATTACAAACACCAAACCAGGCCGCCTTTGTCTTCCTGGAGCTGATTTTTTTTACACACCGCAGCAGGTACTCATTTAAGGCTGAGTCGACCTAGGAGGAGGGAGGGAAGGGGGCAGTGAGATATCCAGGGCAGGTTTCAGATAATCCTTGCGTGCCACTGATGTTAGCCGTGGCTCGGAGTCGAACCTAGGTTGCCGGGTTCGTAGTGCAGTGTGCAAACCACTGCTCCACTTCTCACCCCGCCACACACACACACACCTACACACACACGTGCACTCACACCTACACACACACACCTACACTACACACACGTGCATTCACACCTACACACACACCTACACTACACACACACACCGACACACACACCTATACTACACACACGTGCACTCACACCTACACACACACACCGACACTACACACACGTGAACAGTATACATGCGCACACACACACGCGTAAACTCACACACACACACTACACACACGTGCACAGTATACATGCACACACACACGTGCACTCACACCTACACACACACCTACACTACACACACACACCGACACTACACACGCGTGCACTCAGACCTACACACACACACACCTACACTACACGTGCACAATATACATGCACACGCGCGCTCAGCTATACAAGCAGAACACCCATATTCACACCAAGTAAGCTGTTGCAAAACACAAGCGCGCAGCACGCGAACCCTCGCCGTGACTGTCGGCCCCGTGACAAGTCAGCTCGTGACTGGGGGCCTGCGATGTGAATGCTGACAAGTCGGTCACCGTGCCCGCGTGCGGCACCGCGACTAACCACTGTCCCGTGACGGTCACGGGCGTGACCGACATCCCGTGACGAACACAATCGCCCCGTGACCGACTTGGACGGACGCTCAAGAGCCAAATGGCTCACAGGGCAAAACCTCGATTTAAAGCTTCTTTCGTGACTGCAGGGATTCATCTTCTTGGTTCTTTCGGTAAAGTCACGTGGAATGGAAATAATAAAATAATAAAACAAATAAAACATAATAAAATAATTCTCACGACGTTTCGGCCACAACGCAAGCGGCCGTCCATTTGACACGTGACTTTACCGAAAGAACCAATAAGAGGGCAAAAACCTAATCAATGAAACTTGAACTTGAAGTCAAGTTGCCGTAAGCTGTTGGTGCCTTCACGAGTTGGCCCTGTGAGGTCGTCGTTGGTCAGTGAGTCAGTCACTTGACTGGCGATCAGTCCGTGACTGGCGATCTTTATACCTGGGGGGTATGTATGTGGGTGGGGGATGGGTCTTTGTCATCGGCGAGGAGCCGGCGGATTTGCCGATGGTTGTTGATGAAGGGACCACGAGCACTCGTTACGAACTCCATTATCTCACGACCACTGCAACGTGACGAGGGAGGAGGCGAGGTGACGGAGAGGGGGGGGGCTGTGAACACCAACAATAGAACAGCGAACGAAAAATGATAAAGGGGGGGGGGGCCTTGCCAAACGCTGCAGGTCAGGGGGTTAGGGCCAAGCCTTGTTCTCGTCGCTGATTGGCTCTCGTTACAATATTTAGAATGAAGGATTTGGGTTGCAGTCCGTGATCGGGCTCCAATTCCTCATGTGCGAGTGGCTGGTTGGTGAGGGGCCAGGGTGAGCGTTTGATTGGCCACGTGTCAAGCCAGAGTCGGTGTGACACAGCTGGTACTGTGCTGATGTGCTGTGAAGAAGGGCCATTGCCCGAAACGTCGCCGGTTGTAATATTTGTGTTATTTTAAGGCGGCGTTATCGTCTAGCGTGTTGGGTTTTTGTTTGTTATTCGTGCGGTGCTAAAAATTGTTAGTTGGTGAGGGAGGGTTAGCTAGTTGATTGGTGATATAGGGTTGGGATAGCGCTCGTGATTGGTTGGCTAATTAGTGAGGGATTGGTAGCGAGTTAATTGGTGATAGATTCGGGATAGGGCTCGCGATTGGTTGGCTAATTAGTTGGGGTGGGGGGTGGTGGGTAGTTGATTGGTGATAGGGTTCGTGATCGGTTCGTTTGCTCCGCATGTCACCTCCCATCACTCTGTCAGATTTTGTCCGAGTTTCATTCCTGGCATTTCATTTCCTGGCGTCTACAGCGTCCCAAGCAACCCAGACGCGCCGACGAGTACTGCCAGTATCTATATACACACACACACACAGCATGCTGTATACTGCATGCACAGCAATGCCACGTGTATCTCCGTGGTGTGGGTTCGTGTCTGAAGCTCGGAGGTTGAACGCTGCGGTGTCTATGTGCGACAGAATCACATTCGTCAACAACGACTACGCCGTGTGGCCACGAACGGGGAAATATTGGCGACGTTTTTGGGCAATTGTCCTTTTTAAAAATTTCTTGTGACGAAAAGGGGCATTTCCCGAAACGTCGTCTGTTTTTTTAGATGTATTTTTCCCTCGTTTAAGGCCACAGTGTTAATTGACGAATGTGTTGCGTTTTGTTGTTGTTGTTGTGTTGTTGTTGTTTGTGCTCGTGCACCACTGCCAACACAGCATCACCAAATCATTATCCAACGTCGACCCAACGTTCGAATGGTCACCGGGGAAGGCCAGCGCAGGCCGTAAGCCCGACCTCGATAACCACGCGAGCCAATGGGGTCACGCCAGCACTCGCCTTAACCAATTGAACACGCTGACCAACCAAATCAACAACCAATTAGCATCGGCTGTTGCCCCAAACTCAGTGATCTTCACTCATTTTCAGAGCGGGGCACTTTCGCTGATAAGACATCATCATTTGAAACCATTGGAGGTGTGACAGCACCATGGGGGGGGGGGGGGGCTGCGTTCACATTCTGTGTCTTGTCGCACATGAAGGGGCCGCACTGAAGGCCACCAGGGACCACCAGTGGGCCCCCACGGGCCTTGCGACGAATAGCACGGACCTGACAGCACGAGACAGACCCCCCCCCCCCCCCCCACCATGCACATATTCACTTTAAGATGTTTTCTTGTTCATGCTTTTGTTTTTTGTTTGTTGCGGTTGCACCCGATTCAAGAGCCGAATGGCTCACGGGGCTATACCTAATACATGAACTTGAACTCCGAGCCGCACTTCCCAGTGAGGCCACCGGTCAAATCCCTAACTAGGAGAGGCAACCCAGCCGCTGCCTACCCAGTCAACGTGTCAACGTGTCGGTTGGGCCAACGATGGCATCTTGGTTGGAACCGTTGGCCCAACGTTGGTTCAACGTTGGGCCAACGTTGGTTCAACGTTGGGCCAACGTTGGGCCAACCTTGGACCAACCTTGGCACGTGGTTCCATCCTTCATGGGTAGTCCTCTTCCTGTCCCTAGTCAATGAGCCGCTGGGCAATATTCTTACTGCTAACCCCACTCGCCAAGCATTACCCTCGCACCCGCCCTTACTACCTTTCAACTCCGGTAACCAGTCAGACCACAGCCATGCGTGCACACCTTATATTAGCCTGAGCCACCCCCCACCTTTGTTCGCTGTTGTTTGAATTTCGTGCGTCTGGCGAGCGAGAGTGTGCGCGCGTGTTCGTGCGTGAATGTGTATCCAGTCACGTGTGCGCCATGTGTCCGCATACTGCAAGTGTGGGTTTTGGATGGGGCTCAAGTGTGCTTACGTGTTTGTGTGCGTGTATAATACCCGTGCGAGTGTGTCAGTGTACACGTGTGCGCGTGCACGTGTGTGCGCGTGGACGTTTGTGTGAGTGTGCTACTTTGTGCGTGCTCTGAAAGTGAAACCTGGCCTCCTGGCACGAGCTCTGTTGTGACGTCACAGTCACTTGATTGGAGAATGGCGGCTTGTGTTGTTGCTGTTCTTGTCGTCGTTGTATGCCGCACGTGTGTGTGTGTGTTTGTGAGTGTCGTGTAAGGTGTCGTGCGTGTGTGTGTGTTTGCATGTACTGTGGTCATTGCCCATGCGTGTAGTGTGTTCATGTTCGTGTAGGTGTTCATGTTTGTGCGGTGTGGGTGTTCATGTTTGTTTAGGTATTCGTGCAGTGTATGTGTCCATGTTCGTGTTCGTGTAGGTGTAGGTGTTTGTGCGGTGTAGGTGTTTGTGTGGTGCAGTGTATGTGTCCATGTTCGTGTAGGTGTTCGTGCGGTGTAAGTGTCCATGTTCGTGTAGGTGTATGTGTAGTTGTCCGTGCGGTGTAGGTGTTCATGTTGGTGTTTGTTGCACGTGTGCTTGGCTGAACGCGTGCGGTTGATTGCGCGCATTGGGGCTGATTGCGCGCATTGCGGCTGATTGCGCGCGTTGCGGCTGATCGCGCGCGCCTCGTCAGTCTTCGCGGCCCGTGCGGAAGGCCTCGGCGAGGCCCTGCAGCGAGTGCACCATCCCCGAGATGCTCACGACGACGCCCACCACGAAGATGGTGGCGTCGAACAGCACGTGGTGCCACTTGAGCTTGCGCCACAGCAGGCGCACGTGGAACATGCAGGGCAGCAGGAAGGAGAGCGACGCTCCCGTGAGGCTGCCCGTCAGGCCCATGAGGAGGGCGAAGTGCGGGATGAACACGGCCATGAGCAGAGTCAGCACCACCAGGGCGCAGCGCATGCCCAGGGTCCAGGCCTGCAGGTGCGCTGGGCCCGCTCCGAGGGTCCACGACGGGCCCTGCTGCCCGGCGCGAGGCCCGGCCGCCGCGGGGACCTCGACCGAGGCGGCCGCGCCGTCGGCTTCCTCCGCGGCCTTCTCGCCGGCGAAGGAGGCGGCGGTGAGTCGCGAGCCTTCCGACGGCGTGAGCGGCGGACTCGACGGCGGCGGCGGCGGCGGCGCCGTCGATGGCGTCGCAGCTGCCTCGCCGACGGCGGCCGCGGGGGGAGCCTTGGAGAACAGTGTCTCCAGGACTTCGACGGCGGCGAAAAACGGCAGCGGGTACGAGAGCAGCGCCTTGGCCACCAGGAAGATGTTGACGACGGCCCGGAAAGTGGGCGGAAGATTGTCGGTGATCACCTCCTTGGTGTCGTCGGCCCAGGTGAGGTAGGCGACGAGGGCGAAGATGCCCTTGCAGGCGCACGCGGCGATGTGCGACCAGTCCATCATGGGGCCGAACTGCGAGCGGTCCCTCATGTTGCCCTCGAGCGACGGCAGGAAGATCTGCGACGTGTAGCTGAACACGATGATGCCCACGGACACGGGGAACGTCTTGACGTCCACGTAGAACTTCATCTTGTCCCACGCCCAGTCGCGAGCCCTGCTCAGGCAGTAGCCCATGACAAGCAGCGTGATGAGCGCGTGCGCCGCCGAGCACAGCATGCTGAAGCGCGACACGGCCTTGAGGCTGCGCAGGAAGGCGCAGGGCAGCAGTGCCGCCGTGGCGAGCACGCACCAGGCCTTCTGCGAGACGCCGAGCGCGGGGAAGCTGTTGACCATGAGGTTGCCGCTGACCACCACGTAGAGGACGCACGTCATGACGAGCTCGATGAGCTGCGCGCCGTTCACCACGTGGCCGCCCAGGCGCGGGAAGCGCGGGGCGCAGCAGGCGTCCGCCACCTCGACGTAGGAGCCGCGCACGCGCACCAGCGTGCCGTCCTCGTCCTCCTCGTACAGGCACGCCACCAGCACCTGTGGCGATGGTGGCGGAGGGGGCAGGTGAAGGGGGAGGGGGGGGCGAAGGGGATGGGAGGGATGATAGCGATGCACAAGAGAGAGGAGGGTGTGGGTACAAGTCGAGACGGCTTGGCCCTGGCGGTTGGTTAGAATGGTCGGACGTGTGGATGAGATGTCCTGGACGTGAACATTGTCATGATTTGTATCACAAAAACGTGGCCACTGCATTAGGGGTCTGTTGGGGCCTTCTTTCAACGTGCCGTGTCCTCTCCCAAAAGCGTCTTTTTCACAGATGCAACGTCAGTCGAAAGGCAAGGTCAGTCTCTCTGCGCCGTGACCTTCCTCAAATACATTGGTAATTACGACCTTACTTCCATTCAGCTCCGTCCATGATATTTACTCAGATACTCCTTCCAGTTGCATCCAGTTGTTGAAATTGCTCACGTCACTTAATTCACTGTCTTCTGATTCTTGTTGTACCTAGAATTTTCTCAGTCACAACAACATTGATATCCAGCCTCTTCTTGGTTCTTTCGGTAAAGTCACGTAGAATGGAGAAAAAAAACCTAATAAAATGAAAAAAGTTTTATTTTATTTTATTATTTCCATTCTACGTGACTTTACCGAAAGAACCAAGAAGATGAATCCCTGCAATCACGAAAGCTTTAAATCGAAATCCAGTCTCTTGTTTTCGCATTACACGTCCAATACATCTAACTTGCATTCCCTCTAAACATTATGATAATTTGTTTTAAATAACAATAATTATAGCAGGTAAGTTTATATTCTCATTCCAAGTTACCTGCCTATTATATAGATGACAAACGGTAAACCCCCACCCCCTCTCCTTCTTTGCCTCCCACATTTCCCCCTTCTCCCTCCCTCCCCCCTCTCCTTTCCCCCTCCACCTCTCCCCCCCACCTGCCCCCCTCTGATTTTCTCCCCCATCTCTCCCCCCTCTCCCTCCTCCACCCCCACCTCTCCCCACCCTCTCCTTCTCCCCCCCCCCTCATCTCACCCCCCCTCTCCATCCTCCACCACTCCCACCTCTCCTTCTCCCCACTCTCCCTCCTCCCCCCCACCTCTCCCCACCCTCCCCTTCTTCTCCCTCATCTCCCCCCCTCTCCATCCTCCACCTCTCCCCCCTCTCCCTCCTCCACCCCCACCTCTCTCCACCCTCTCCTTCTCCCCTCTCTCCCTCCCTCCTCACCCAGCCCCTCCCCACCCTCCCCTCTCCACCCAGCCCCACCGCTCCCATTTTTGGATGCACGACGGACGGACAAAATAATCCCCTGTGGGCTGGTGGAACCAGTGGGTTCCTACCAGTAAAAGTGCATCCCTCCAGTGGCTTCCTAATATCGGAAGGATGAGCGTTCCAGACGGCCGCAGCAGCGCCATCTGAAAGCGCGCGATGCGGTGACCGTCTTTGTTCGATGGCGAGTTATTGGTGTGTTGTTGTTGTTGTGTTGTTGTTGTGTTGTAATTGTGGTATTGGTGTATTGTTGTTGTGTTGTTGATGTTACTGTTGTGTTGTTGATGTTGCTGTTGTGTTGTTGATGTTGCTGTTGTGTTGTAATTGTGGTATTGGTGTATTGTTGTTGTGTTGTTGATGTTACTGTTGTGTTGTTGATGTTGTTGTTGTGTTGTTGATGTTGCTGTTGTGTTGTAATTGTGGTATTGGTGTGTTGTTGTTGTGTTGTTGTTGTAGTTGTTGTAGTTATTGTGTCACCTTGCCCGTGTAGCAGCACACGGCGGCTGCCAGGATGATGAGGAAGAGGCCAAGATACCCCCCGTGCAGCACGGCGTAGGGCAGACCCAGCACGAACATCCCCTACACACCATCACCACCATCACCATCGACATCATCATCAACACTATCATCACCACCAACATCAACATGGCGTAGGGAAGACCCAGCACGAACATCCTCTACGCACCATCACCATCACCACCACCACCATCAACACCATCATCATCACCACCATCACCACCATCAACATCAACACCACCAACATCATCATCATCATCACCACCAACATCATCATCACCATCAACACGGCGTAGGGCAGATCCAGCACGAACATCCCCTACGCACCATCACCACCATCACCACCAACATCATCATCATTAACACCATCATCATCATCACCACCAACATCATCACCATCAACACCATCATCATCATCACCACCAACACCACCACCACCACCACCAACAATACCATCACCACCATCATCACCACCCCCATCAACACCATCATCATCTATTCTAGATTTGAAGCTTTCGTGACTGGAAGGATTCATATTCTTAGGTTTTTTCGGAAAAGTCACGTAGGTAAAAAATTAAAATTAAAGTTATCACCACCAACATCATCATCAACACCGTCACCATCATCACCACCACCAACACCATCAACACGGCGTAGGGAAGACCCAGCACGAACATCCCCTACGCACCATCACCACCATCACCATCAACATCATCATCAACACCATCATCACCACCAACATCAACATGGCGTAGGGAAGACCCAGCACGAACATCCTCTACGCACCATCACCATCACCACCACCACCATCAACACCATCATCATCACCACCATCACCACCATCACCATCAACATCAACACCACCAACATCATCATCATCATCACCACCAACATCATCATCACCATCAACACGGCGTAGGGCAGATCCAGCACGAACATCCCCTACGCACCATCACCACCATCACCACCAACATCATCATCATTAACACCATCATCATCATCATCACCACCAACATCATCACCATCAACACCATCATCATCTATTCTAGATTTGAAGCTTTCGTGACTGGAAGGATTCATATTCTTAGGTTTTTTCGGAAAAGTCACGTAGGTAAAAAATTAAAATTAAAGTTATCACCACCAACATCATCATCAACACCGTCACCATCATCACCACCACCAACACCATCAACACGGCGTAGGGCAGGCCCAGCACGAACATCCCCTACGCACCATCATCATCATCACCACCACCACCAACATCATCATCATCAACACCATCATCATCACCACCACCAACATCATCATCAACATCATCATCACCACCACCATCATCACCATCATCACCTTTACCACCATCATCACCAACATCATCACCACCAGCAGGCGCAACACGAGCACCCATCACCACCCCCATGAACACCATCGACACCGCCATCATCACCACCACCAACATCATCAACACCACCATCACCATTACCACCATCATCATCAACACCATCACCACCACCACCACCACCCCCATCAACACCATCATCATCACCACCACCACCAACATCATCATCATCATCAACACCACCATCATCACCACCACCAACATCATCATCAACACCATCATCATCACCACCACCATCATCACCATCATCACCTTTACCACCATCATCATCAACACCATCATCAACATCATCACCACCACCATCATCACCATCATCACCATTATCAGGCGCAACACGAATACCCATCACCACCCCCATGAACACCATCGACACCGCCATCATCACCATCACCAACATCATCACCATCAACACGGCGTAGGGCAGACCCAATACGAACATCCCCTAAGAACCATCATCATCATCACCACCACCACCACCAATATCACCACCATCATCCATTACCATTATCAACACCACCACCATCATCACCATCAACACAACATACGAACACCCCGACACATCACCATCAACACAGCATAGGGGAAGCCCAATGTGAACATCCCCGAAACATAATCACTATTAGTAGTAGTATTGTTATCATCGCCATCACTGGCGAGCACCTATGAAGGGCCAACACGAGGTCGTGTGGCAAGAACGGGAACGGGTACTCATTTTAAGCCTAGGTTGACCTAGGAGAGGCCCAGGACTGGTTCAGATATTCGCCACTGTTATTTATCGTGAGCGGGATTCGAACTTGGGCCGCCAGGTTCGTAGCGCAGTGCACTAACCACTGCGCCACCACTCCCCATATTAACCGCACGCACGCACACAAATCCACGCACACAAATCCACACACACAAATCCACGCACACAAATCCACACACGCGCACGAGCTATGCAGTAATCACTATGCAACATGATTTTTGGTCTTGGTTAGTAAGTGTTATTTTCTAAATGCTTATGTCTCAAAGGTATAGAAAATGGCAATTATTTCCCACAAACTTTGCTTTTGTGACCAGGACTTTACGTGAAGGAATTACACAAATCCACACGTTTTCTCATTGAAAATGGGTAAATTTAAACATATCACTGTCCTGGCCACAAAAGCAAATTTTGTTGGGGAATAATATCCATTTTCTTTACTTTTGAGGCATAAGCAATTAGGAAATAACACTACCCAGGAACAAAAAAAAATGTGTTACACAGTGACATTCGCCAATAACACTGTGTGGCCTTACAAATATATAATAGACGTTTCTGGCAATGGCCCTTCTTCATGACACAAAGGTCAGAGAGGTTAAGAGTTTGACACAACCCATTCAGGTATAATGTACTGGAGGAATACCATGAGCTGTAAAGCTTTTTCACAGATTTCTAGGAGGGGCGGGTCAGAACGTTACAATAACAAACAGTTCAAAAATACGATAGGAGTGCAAAGTACAGTATATGAAAGGTGAGCAACTCACACACAAAAATATTATACAAATACAACGAATCTATTATTTTTATCTTACCAGGTAAAGCCCACTGAGCTATTAGCTTCCTTTCCAGAAGCGCACAGGCCACAAATGACAGCTCCATGAAGTGGCTTATCACGTGGAAAATTATAGCGGTAAAATAAGCTCAAGCGGTGTTTCTATTTAAAGCTTTCGTGACTGCAGGGATTCATCTTCTTTGTTCTTTCGGTAAAGTCACGTAGAAGGAAAATAATAAAATAATAAAAATAAAACACAATTCTCACGACGTTTCGGCCACAACGCAAGCAGCCGTCCGTTGTGGCCGAAACGTCGTGAGAATTGTATTTTATTATGTTTTATTTTTATTATTTAATTATTTCCCTTCTACGTGACTTTACCGAAAGAACCAAGAAGCTCAAGCGGTGTTCTTCACAGCAAGGCCCGCGGGTCACTGGCGGCCCCTGGTGGCCCCTTGTGGCCCCTGGTGGCCCCTGGTGGCCCCTTGTGGCCCCTGGTGGCCCCTGGTGGCCTTTAGTGCGGCCCCTGATGTGCGGCGACCCACAGTTACACAACGAATCTGAAAACACCGCGTGCTGTCAAACCCTCAATGGCCTCGAATGTGTAGCGGCCCTCACACTGATGCTGTCTTATCGGCGAAAGTGTCCCCCCCCCATCCCAATCCTCACCCAAACCCTCTGAAAATAAGTGAAGAACCACCGATGTCAATTATCATCTAAATGCATGGTTCTTCTTGGTTCTTTCGGTAAAGTCACGTAGAAGGGAAATAATAAAATAATAAAAATAAAACATAATCAAATACAATTCTCACGACGTTTCGGCCACAACGCAAGCGGCCGTCCGTTGTGGCCGAAAACGTCGTGAGAATTGTATTTTATTATGTTTATTTTTATTCTTTTATCATTCCTCTTCTACGTGCCTTCACCGAAAGAACCAAGAAGATGAATCCCTGCAGTCACGAAAGCTTCCAATCGAAATCTAAACGCATGCTTGTTTACAAACGTGAAGGGGACAAAACCCCGAGGACAAAAAACTAAAAAAAAAATCCACGTATAGAATACCGGAGCCTCGTCCCCCCCGTCCCACCTGAATCGCATTGGTCACGTTCCACCCCGCGTCCCACGCCGTGATACGAGGGCCCCCGTCTGCCCCGAGGCTGACGGTCGAGGAGGCCCTGCTCATGGGGCCCCTCCGCGGGGGGCCGGCGCCCCCACCGCCGCCCCTCTGGTAGCGGACGTCGCCCTCGGCGCACGGGGAGCCGCCGTCTTGGTTGTCGTCCCCTCCTCCTCCTCCTCCCAGCTCGTCCATGGCGAGGCCGTGCCGGTGGTCGCGGTCCAGCGAGTCGCACGACGCGAAGCCCACGGACTCTTCGCCGGCCGTGGCCTGCACCCCGAGGCGGGCCAGGAGGCCGCTCACGCGGGACTCCGCCTTGTGGCGCGCGCTCGTGGCCGCGTGGGTCACGTGGCCTCGGAACACCGACATGGTGGTGCTGGTGGTGGTGCTGGTGGTAGAGTGGTAGGGTAGTGGTGTCAAGGTGCTGAAGATGATTGTGGTGGTGGTGGTAGAGTGGTAGGGTAGTGGTGTCAAGGTGGTGAAGATGATTGTGATGGTGGTGGTAGAGTGGTATGGTAGTGGTGTCAAGGTGGTGGTAAAGTGAAGGATGTGCTGAAGATGATTGTGGTGGTGGTAGAGTGGTAGGGTAGTGGTGTCAAGGTGCTGAAGATGATTGTGGTGGTGGTGGTAGAGTGGTAGGGTAGTGGTGTCAAGGTGGTGAAGATGATTGTGATGGTGGTGGTAGAGTGGTATGGTAGTGGTGTCAAGGTGGTGGTAAAGTGAAGGATGTGCTGAAGATGATTGTGGTGGTGGTAGAGTGGTAGGGTAGTGGTGTCAAGGTGCTGAAGATGATTGTGGTGGTGGTGGTAGAGTGGTAGGGTAGTGGTGTCAAGGTGGTGAAGATGATTGTGATGGTGGTGGTAGAGTGGTAGGGTAGTGGTTTCAAGGTGGTGGTAAAGTGAAGGATGTGCTGAAGATGATTGTGGTGGTGGTAGAGTGGTAGGGTAGTGGTGTCAAGGTGCTGAAGATGATTGTGGTGGTGGTGGTAGAGTGGTAGGGTAGTGGTGTCAAGGTGGTGAAGATGATTGTGGTGGTGGTCGAGTGGTAGGGTAGTGGTGTCAAGGTGGTGGTAAAGTGAAGGATGTGCTGAAGATGATTGTGGTGGTGGTCGAGTGGTAGGGTAGTGGTGTCAAGGTGCTGAAGATGATTGTGGTGGTGGTGGTAGAGTGGTAGGGTAGTGGTGTCAAGGTGGTGAAGATGATTGTGGTGGTGGTAGAGTGGTAGGGTAGTGGTGTCAAGGTGGTGAAGATGATTGTGGTGGTGGTCGAGTGGTAGGGTAGTGGTGTCAAGGTGCTGAAGATGATTGTGGTGGTGGTGGTAGAGTGGTAGGGTAGTGGTGTCAAGGTGCTGAAGACAGTGGTGGTGGTGGTGAATTAACGGTGGTAGAGTGATGTTGGTATTAATCGAGGTGGTCGCGTGAAGATGGTGAAGTTGATAGTGGTGGTGGTGAGGTTATGGGGAAGGCAGTGGGGCTGTAAGGATGGCGGTGGTGAAGATGATATTGGCGGTGTGTTGGTAGCGGTTGTAGTGGTGGTGTTGGTATTTGAGTGAAGGTGTAGGTTACGTCCGGGTTAAGGTGGTTGTGGTAGCGCTGTTTCAACAAAGGTAGTAGCCGTGGTGTCAGGGTGATCGTAGTGGTAATAGCGGCGGTGTTCGGGTGGATGTGGCGGTAGTGGTAGTTGTCGTGGTGGCGGAGGTTGTGGTGGTCGCGTTGCGGTGGCAATGACGGTGGTGTTGCCGTGATGGAGATGGTGTCCGGGTTGTGGTTGTTGTGGTGGTGGTGGTGGTGAGCTCGGCTTGAGTGTTGGTGGAGTATGCGATGGTAACAGTGGTGGTGGTCTTTGCGATGTTCGCGTTGTTAGCTGGGTTTGATTGCAGTGATGGATGTAGCGGTGATGGTGGTGGTGGTTGTTGTTGTAATGGTGACTTGCGTTTAAATGGCCGGCGCTATTTTCTTGCGCTCGACGTTAAGCGATGCTCTCTGCTCGAGGTCAACCTGGGAGGAGGTGGCGATGAGGTGACGTTGACGAGGTGCTTGATAATTACGATGACGATGATAATGATGAAGATAATTTAAGAAAGAAGAAAACCCCAGAAGGACCAAATGGAGGACGAGGGTACAGAGAACGTGCGCCACGCGATGCTGCCTTCACGCAGAGATGGGTGCCGCTGATGACGGCGATGACGACGACGGTGGTGACGGTGGTGACGGTGATGATGATGATGAGAAATAGACGAAGACGGGCGAGCAGAAATTGAAGAGGACGCGAGGCCGACGAGGAGGAGGAGGACGAAGAGGACAAGGAGGAGGACGCGTCGAACGCTGCGGAGGAGCGGTCGGGGATGCGCGCACTGCGACGTCCGCTCGTGCGCGCACGGACGGCACACGGAGGGTACACGAGGGTACACGGAGGGCACACGGAGGGTACACGATCGCGGCTACACGGGGCTTACACGGGCACGCGGGTAAAGCAAAGACGCTCCAGTGCGCGAGTAACTGCACGGACGCACGAACGCACGCGGGTAACGCGGAGACGCACGGAGGCACGCCGGGTACACGGCTAGGAGAAAGAGGTGGAGGAGGAGGAGGAGGCACACGCGCGGTCACGCCGGTAGTGCACGGGTAGAAGGAAGCGCGCTGGTAGTTGCACGGGGTGAGGAGGCGGAGGAGGAGGCACGCGGAGTCGCGCAAGGGAGACGCGGACGCACGGCGGCTCGGCTCGGCTGCTGGGCGCGCGACGGCGACGGGAGGGCGGGAGCGCGCGCACGAGCACGCGCGCACGAGCACGCGCGTGCGTCACGTGGAGAGGAGACCCGCGCGCGAGCGTGCGCGGGGGTCTGTGCTCGTCCGTGCGTGTGTCTGTGTGTACACGTGCTTCTGTGTGTGTGTGTCTGTGTGCCCGTGGTTGTGTCTTTGTCGTTGTGCGTTTGCATGTGTGCGTCTTCTGTGCGTGTCTGTGTATGTTTTCACACGTGTGCGTGTCTTGTACGTGTGTCTCTGTGTGTGCGTGTCTGTGTGTGTATATGTGCGTATCTGTATGGGGAGCGGTGGCGCAGTGGTTAGCGCGCTGAGCTACGAACCCGGCGACCAGAGTTCGATTCCCGCTCACGGCCACCAACACCAGTGACGATTATCTGAATCGGTCCTTGGCCTCTCCTAGTTCGACTCAGCCTCAAATTAGTGCCTGGTGCGGTGTGTAAACATCGCTACGAGGGGACAAAGGCGGCCGGGCGTGGTGCTGGCCACCCACCCCCTCGTGGGCCGTGCACTTGCCCCATCAGCCTGTTAAGACTTTACGGGGGACCTCCGACTTTGTGTGCCTGTGTGTGATCGGGCGTGAATATTCTCCACGTGCGCATGTACGCGTGTGTGTGTGTGTGTGTCAAAGTGTCAGTGTGTACGTCTCATTGTCTCCGTGCGTGTCTGTGTGTGCACGCGTGTGGCTGTGTGCGCGCAAGGGTCGCGTGTGTCTGTCTCGCAACGTCCCCGCGTGTCTCCGTGTCCCTCCGCGCGTCTCTCCCCGTGTCTCCGTGACCAGTTTTACACCATGGAATACGTTTTAAAAAAATATTCTCCGCTTTATTTTTTTTGTGGTTGTATTTTTTGCGCAGTGGCTCAACTAATGCCCCCCTCCTTCACCCCTCCCTTCCACCACCATCTCCCTCCCCATTCCCTCCCCCCTCTTTCACCACCATCTCCCTCCCTCCCCCCACCACCATCTCCCCCTTCATCTCAGCACCCTCCCCTCCGAACTCTCCAACCATCATCTCTCCCTCCCCTCTTCATCCTCCTCTACCTTCTCTCATTGCCCCCACCCCCCCATTCCCCCACACCACGTCCACTCCTCCCCTCGGCCCGTGCTCTCTATAGGCGCGAGAGTGAACGACAGAGCGAGAGACTCTGAGCAGCATCGGCAGCGGTCGCACGGGGTGGAGCGGTGAGGGCGACTTTGAGAGCGCGGCGAGCCATCGATGGGCACCCTGCGGTACCAGCGAGATAAAGTTACTGTCAGAGACGGAGACTTTGACTCGGGGACTTTGGCCGCGATCAGAGACGGGACCTCAACTCGGAGCGGTAGACGGAGACTTGTTGACAGAGTGATGAACACGAGGGTGAAGTTGGGAGCAGGGGGGTGGGAGGACATGATTTGTTAAGGACGTGGAGACTTGGCTCAGATCAGAGACGGCGGTGAGTTCACGAATGGAAGCCGGCACAGACAGCGAGGGCAGTAAGGAGGAGGGGAGTCGTGAGAAGAGATGGAATCAGAGACGGAGGGAGCTGACTTCGTGATCAAAGGCAGGCGAGTTGTTGGCCGAGAAACAGATGGGCAAAGAAGAAAAAAAATGAAATCAGCAACGTGGCCATGATCTCAGAGACGTGGAGACTTGTTTGAGCTCAGACACGGCGCTGGAGTTCACGAGAGTGACCAGAAACAAAGAGAGGGGCAGAGTGACGACTCCAGAGACGTGGATTGATGGGATCAGAGACGACGGTTCGTGACTTGGGTCAGAGACGGGACTTGAAGTTTGATCAGAGGCGGGACTGGGGGGTTGGGGGTCACCCCAGTGGGTACCGGGACCAGGAGAGCAGAGCTACTGCCAGGAACTCGGACTCAAGAGACGCAACTGGACCCAGGCACGGGAGACCCCCCCCCCCATCAGAGACGTGGAGTGAGACTCTGATCAGAGACGGGGGGGGGGGTGCGACTCATCTTGCCGGGGTCGAGGGGAGGGGCTCCGCCACCGCGCCCCCCTTCCCCCCCGCGTGAGTACTCGTCACGTGGTCATGCGCACGTTGGAGGGAGCGGGTGGGGGGGTGACTATAGCAACGACGGAGGAGATGGGGGGCAGGGGAAGGTGATGATGGTGATGGTGGTTATGGTGGTGGTTGTGGTGATGGTGATGGTGGTGATGGTGGTGATGGTGATGATGATGGGAGATGGTGATGATGATGGTGATGATGGTGATGGCGGTGATGGTGATGATGATTGGAGATGGTGATGATGATGGTGATGGTGGTGATGATGGTGATGGTGGTGATGGTGGTGATGGTGGTGATGGTGATGATGATGGGAGATGGTGATGATGATGGTGATGATGGTGATGGCGGTGATGGTGATGATGATTGGAGATGGTGATGGTGATGGTGACGATGGTGACGATGGTGATGATGATGATGGGAGATGGTGATGATGGTGATGATGGTGATGAGGGAGATGATGATGATGGTCATGTTGGGAGATGGAGATGATGATGGGAGATGATGATGATGATGGGAGATGGTGATGAGGGAGGGGCGGTGATGGGAGATGGGGCGGGGGGGGTGATGACGATCGCAGACGAGGGGGGAGGGGATAGAGCCGATGACGGCCTGATGTTACTTTTGATGATGACGATGGTACTGCTGATGAGGCTGATGCTTGCTGATGAGGCTGATGCTTGCTGATGATGGTGTTGCTGATGCTGATGATGATAATCATAATGGCATTGATGACGGCGCTGCTGTTACTTTTGATGATGGCCATGGTACTGCTGATGAGGCTGATGCTTGCTGATGATGGTGTTGCTGATGATGATGGTGTTGCTGATGATGATAATCATAATGGCATTGATGACGGCGCTGCTGTTACTTTTGATGATGGCGATGGTATTGTTGATGAGGCTGATGCTTGCTGATGATGGTGTTGCTGATGCTGATGATGATAATCATAATGACATTGATGGCGTTGCTGATATAAGCGCTGATAATGATGACGCTGCTGTTGTTGTCGTTGCTGATTGTGGTGGTAATGTTGCTGCTGCTGCCGCTGGATACGATGAAGGTTACGATAGAGGGCACATTCACATCGCGTACAAGGAGTCGCGGTCGCACGCGGCAGATGTCGCGACCGCGTCGCGCTCATGTAAACGCGACGCGCCGTTCGCGACTCGAGTCGTCTTTTCCGTTTCAGTCGTTTGATCAGCCGCGGAGTTTAATTCGCAATCCTTCGATTTGTTATATTTTATCACTGCACACACGCGGGTAATATTGCATATAGGCACACACACGTACACAAAGGCAAAAGCACACACGTGTTTTATTGTACATAAACATGCTTATATAATACACAAACATACACAGATTACCTTTAACAGACTGTTGGGGCATATGCTCTTAGCCAACCACGTGGTATAATTATGAACGGCACGGCACACGAGGGGAGTTGGCGGACAGCACCACGCCCGGCCGCCTTTGTCTTCCCATCGCTGATGTGCCACACACCGCGGCCAGGTGCTAATTTTGTTTTATGGCTGCGTCGACCCAGGGGGGGACCGTGAACGGTGCAAATATTCGTCACCGATGTTGGCCCGTGAACGGGCATCGAACTCGGATCTCGCTCGGGTTCATATTCACATTGCGAACAGAGGTCGCTAACCACTGTGCCACCGCTCCTCACCACGTATGCCATGTAGTGTTTAACACGGAGGCTTTCGCGACCAGTATTATTCATAACAAAGGTTTATAATTTGGGTTAGATCGCGTTATAGTGTATACACATATATACATATATAACTACACGTGCCTAAATATATACGACAATGCCTACACATGTTTTGTTATAGCACACGTGTGTGTAATATTACAATGTGTACGTATGCATACATAGAAAAAAAGCAGACAAAGACCGCCCATACAACCTGCACAGACTGTTGGGGCAAGTGCTGTTAGCGAGCACCTATGATGGCCGGCACGGCACACGAGGGAGTGGGTGGTCAGCACCACGCCCGGCCGCCTTTGTCTCCCCTGTGGCGATGTTTATACACGGCACCAGGTACTCATTTGAGGCTGAGTCGACCGATGGGAGGCCCAGGACCGGTTCAAGTAATCGACACCGGTGTTGGCCGTGAGTTGGAATCGAACTCGGGTGGCCGGGTTCATAGCGCAGTGCACTAACCGCTGCGCCACCGCTCTCTACATACATAAACATTTGTGTGTGTAGGTTTGCATACATACACACACATGTACCGTACATGCATGTATACACACATTTGTAAATGCACATACATACATACCTACACACAACTATATAAAAACACATTGTCCTATACACATTTCTAAATACGCATATATATATACAGTACATACATACACACCTCTAAGTACAGACTTATGCATATATCACAATTGTTAAAATCTTTTTTTTTTTACAAAATCGGTAACCGCAATGACAAAACTACCGGTTACCGGATTTCCGCACAATACCACGTAGGAATGTCTCGTAACAATGAATTAATTAGCGAACAATTCGTTGCCATCGCTTTTACGTTTTTTTTTTTTAACTGAGACACGAAGGGAAGCTGCCGGCGCGCTCGCACGTTTCGTTTCGATCTCCAGGCGCGGCAGCTGAAAGAACGGCGCAAGAGCCTCGAGTCTCCCCCCACCTCCGTGTTCCCTGCAGCAAGCCCGCGGCACAGTTAGTCGATGAGTCGATGGAGATGTCTCGCGCGGTGGGGTAAAGCGTGGCCACGTCCACGTGTTCCGAGACGTCACGCACCGTCTTTAAGAACTCCGGCCATCCTCGCAGCAGCGGCTTTTAGCTAGCCCCATCGCATTTGCGGCCGTCTGGAACGCTCTTCCTTCCGATATGAGGCAGCCACTGGGAGCTATGCACTTTTAAGTAATCTAGATTTTAAAAACTCGGTTTTCTTTAGAATTTATTTGTGTGTGTAGTTTGGCGTGCTTTACCCCCCGCCGCACTTCCGATTAGCGCGGTTTGGCTACGTACGGTGTGAAAGAAGTTCAACACGCAGCACGTACAACTCCGTCTCCGCGCCAGGAGGATAAGCGAGGAATCACAGCGGCAGCATTTTACCTCCTTGAACGCACGGGGGAACGAAAGCGGACCACACGGTGGCTTCGGCCGCGCCGTGCGGTTTGTACGTTCGCGCTCCGTGCCAATCGGGGCACGGTTCACGGCGAACATTCCGCCGGGAAAATGGTTACCGGTTTGCTGCCTCGTTGACTACGGTTACCGGTTTGACGCTTGTCAAGCAACTTTCCGATCATGTACAGAGAGACACGGCCCATACATATACACGTGTGTGTGTGTATATATGGGGAGCGGTGGTGTGGCGGTTAGAGAACCCGACGGCCCGAGTTCGATTCCCGCTCACGGCCAACATTAGTGACGATTATATGAACCGGTCCTGGGCATCCCCTAGGTCGACTCAGCCTTAAATGAGTACCTGCTGCGGTGTGTAAACATCGCCACTGGGGAGACAAATGTGGTCGAGCGTGGTGTTGGCCACCCACCCCCTCGTGTGCCGTGCCGGCCTTCATAGGTTCTTGCTAACGGGGGATCTTTGTATGTTATATATATATACAGGGTATACAGCGACAAAGACTTATGAGATAAGTACTCGCAGACTCGCACATATATGTCGTAAGCATGTGCATACAGCATGTGCATACAGCATGTGTGTTGTGTGTTGTGTGTAGCGCACTACGCTACGAAG